ACAGAAATATTAAAAGCACGATAAAACATCAACCATTAAAAACATCCCTAAACAGGATTGCCTTCAGATATCTTCTGAAAGTCAAATAGTTGTTTATTTACTTGACATCTGATGGGAGGGCATTCCATAGGGCAGGCGCCACCACCGAGAAGGCCCTCTGCCTGGTTCCCTGTAACCTCAATTCTCGCAGGGAGAGAACCGCCAGAAGGCCCTCGGAGCTGGACCTCAGTGTCCGGGCTGAACAATGGGAGTGGAGACACTCCTTCAATGCTTTTCTCATCAAATGTGAATCATTTGGTTACAGCATGATGCTGATAATGCCAAGGTTGCAGGTTCAATCCCTGTATGGGTCAGCTGCATAATCCTGCATTGCAGGGGATTGGACTAGAGAATCCTTAGGGTCCCTTCCATCTTTACAATGCTATTGTACTATCCTTTTATGTGCAATCACGTACATATTTCTAAAGTGGCCAGAAGCAGTGGGCCACAGCAGCCTTTGGGTGATATATATGTATACCTGAGTACGAGTGAGAACTAAACAGCCCTCAGGGCCAACGCTTTGGTTTGTGAGGACACTAGATCGGGCCCTTAATTATATATTGTAGTGTTTGAACCTTGCTGAAAAGAGTTCAGAAGAGAAAGTATAGTTCGAACAAACACAGGGAGGCTATTGGAAATACCCTGCGGTAAATGTGTATATGGTTCAAATGCCCAGGGTCACAACAGGCTTACAAAGGTCAAAAGAAAGTGTGTTTACTGAGATAGCACTTGCAGAAGATGAGGCCCCTGCCATCAGTTGAGTTACTTAAATTACCTTCCTGTCTCAGAAGCATCAGCAATAGCTAGTACACACCTTAAGCCCTCCTTGCTGAGCAGTTGGACATCTTTCCTCCCTGAGCCGAATGATCAGCATTTGTATGCATCTTCTCTGCATTCACATCAACAGCAGCCACCATGTCCTCAGGAATAAGCATTTGCTACATTCCAGCTACAATCTTTATGCTTACAAGGCAGGAAGTGGAGACCAGATAAACTCCCAGAAGGTTTTATGAGAAATAACTAATCCCTTTCAAGGTGGCTAACAATTTAAAAAATGCAATGCACTATCAATAGCCGTAACATCATTAAAGAAGCCGGCAGGTAAAATATGCAGCCCCAAAATATTAAAATATAACACTTAACTGAAACCGTCAGCAGAAGAATAAAACAACTCAAGAAAAAGTAATTGGAAGCAAATGAATCTTTCGGGCTGTCCTGAAAACTTGAAGTAATAGGGTCTTTTGCAGTGTTGATGGTGGCGGATTGAAGAGCTGAAGTTTCACTGCAGAAAGGACTCTCTTTTTTGCCCACCAGCTCAAGTATTGTAAAATGTGCGTCTGAGGAGAGGAGGGTTCTCTGTTGTCGATCTTAAAGCGCAGGCAGCTGGTATGGGTGAAGGCAATCTTTCAGATATACCAAAGGCAAAACTGCAGAGAATGGTAAATACTAAATACTGCCATGGTTCATACACATCCTGTGGCATGAAGCCTGGGGTAAGAATAGTTCACAAAATAAACCTCCTGTGTTCTTTTAAAAATTGGCTGGTGGTGCTTCCTGGGATATGCTTAAAGCCTTTCTTTTGAATGTGATACCCCTGAAAGGCAGTTAAACACAGAAAAGAACTGGAAACCATACGATATTTGCAAATCTTGTGACACCTTGTTACAAAGCTTGTGGAATGCTCAGCAGCACATCCATAAACACCGAGTGCTTCTAACGAGTACGCATTTGCCCTTCAACCATAGCTTGCTGTTTAGAGATTAAACTCAAGTTTTTCTGTAGGGTTTTCTTCTGTGTGTTTTTCAGAAGTTTTGTTTACTATATCTAGGCAGAGTAGAACAAGTCACAGTATATAGTTAGTTATAAGTCAATTGTCTTTTCATCATGCACTGAAGGATTTTGGCCACTCAATAACCATGGCCCAATGGGAAAATTTATGGAAGATCAATTGGAAATTCACAAATTGTTACACGATTAGAGAGAACTTTCAAAAAATGCAACATCGATGGTATCTAACACCATGGAAGCTTTCAAAAATGTATAAAAATGTATCAAGTAATTGTTGGAGATGCGGAGACTCAGGAACATTCTACCATATGTGGTGGATATGTAGGAAAATACAGGTATTCTGGGAGAGTATACATGCAGAACTGCAAAAATGCTAAAGATCTCTTTCAATAAAAATCAGAGGCCTACCTCCTGGGAATAACAGATTTGGATATTCCACAAAAGAGGAAGGGTATCTTTTTATATGCGACGGCGGCAGCAAGAGTTTTGATCGCAGCAAAATGGAAGAGTAATGAAATCCCCTCTATTCAAGATTGGATCCAAAAGCTGACAGAATATGCTGAATTAGATGGTTTATCAGAAAAAATCAAAAAAAATCAAAACAGGAATTTGTTTCTAAATGGGAGGTTTTTAAAGAATATCTGAAAAATAAATATAGTAGTTTAAATTCTGTTGCAGCATTCGAGGAACTTCAGTAATAGTTGCAAGGTAGATATAAGAAATTAGATTTAATGAGAATAAGTTTAATTATGAAAAAAAAGTGTATTGGCAATAAGTAATATGAATTTGAAGTATGGAATAGACGGGAGGTTGGGTCTTTAGTGTTAAGACCAATAGATGTTTTATTGTTTGCTAAGAATATTAAGTGTCTATGGTTATTTTTGTAATTTGTGTGTAATTCGGTATTTGTGTTTTTTGTTTGTTTGTTTTTCTTGTTGTATAAATAAATTTTAAAAAAAAGAGAGAGAGAGACTGTGCTACGTCTGTCTGAGCAACTAGAACTGTCCAGGACACTCCCACAAGCCAGTACACTTTGCATGGGGGATAGAGAAAGGGAGGATATAAGCCAAGTCTGCTGGGAGCGGCAGGTTGCACCATTCAGAGGTGATCCAAAGGGCAGGAGCATAGCGTGGAGGGGCCAGGGGACCATAGCCCCGGGTGCATAATTTTGAGGGGGCACAAACCAGGATCTCTTTCCTGCCCTGCATGCCGCCAGGGGTCTCTGGGCTTTGAGCCCAGCCTGGCCTCACTGCTGGGTCCCTAGCTCCCTCACTGAACGGCCATCTGGCCAGCGTTGGATGGGCAGGCAGGGCAGCATGGCCTCACTTGGCTCTAGTGGCAAGGGTTGGGCTGGCACAGTGCCCCATGCCTTACCCTGGCAGCTGACACAACACCACTGCCAAAGGGGGAACACCAAAAAGACTATATTCCTTGGGTCACTTCCTCAGGGTGGAGCCCCTTTGAATTTAGTGGGCATGACTGTGCATTTGAAATTCTGGGCTTTCCCCTCTCAGGGAAGTATTATGTGATTTCCTCCTTACTCTAGACCACTTCCAGTCTGAGAGGAAGGAAGTAGCCTCTAGAAGTGCAAAAGAGAAGTGTTTCATATCCCTTGAGTGAGAGTCCTTTTAGTGTGGAACTGTGCCCTTCCTGGGTAGGAAACAGGAGAATAATTTTTTGCCCTTAGGTGAGAGCTGGAGGTGAGTTAAGTCGGATATTACTGTGCAATAGGTATCAGCCAGATTAGCTAATAGGGAAGAGGGCATGTTGGGTAAGCCTTGAATGCTCTCTGTAGCTCAGAGGCATTCTTCAGATTTCAGCATAATGCAACGGCAATAGGTAAAAACCAGAATAAATTCAGTTACAGAGACATAAAGGAGGAAGGCATGAATGCCAACATCCATTAGTGGATGTTCTTTATTCAAATGAATCACACCATTGAAGTCAATCCATGGATGAGTAATTGGTCTTCAGTTCGAGGAAGTGTTGCATGTTGCATCATGTACAGTAAAAAAGGATGAAATCGAATACCTCAAAGGGGGATATCAAAGTAAAGAGCAGATTTAAGAAAGAAATATCCGGCCATGAACTCTGATTATGTGCTAAGTTAATATTTATAGAGCAGCAGTGCAGGCCTGAATTGGTCTGTCAGTCTTTCTTTTTAATTTTCTTTTTACAAAATTGTACACACATAAATAAATAAAATGGCATGACTAACAAAACAAAAAGGAGCCTCAGGAGGAGGGGGGGATAAAATACTAAAGATATTATTTTACAGTGCCTGATAATGAGATGTTTACACTAAACCAGTAAGATGAGTTCTTCAGATACTTCTCATTCCAATAGGGCTATGCATATGTTATAGGTACACAGGTTATTTGAAGGGCTGCTTGTGCCCATATACGTCTGCCTGTACTTTAAAATCAGTTGCATTGGCAAGTACTGAGGATAGTGCCTTCACAGTAGTGGCCCCTACCTTATGAAACAACCTTTCAAGGATTCATTTGCAGCAGCTGTGGCTTGAATTTATTCCAAGCCTGACACCATATATGACAACACACCCGGTAAAGTTGGGTGTGGCTTACAAAAAAAGAAAGAAAGAAAGGCTTAACGGGCCGACTGTGAGGCCTGGAAGCACTAGATGGGCCCGTTGGCTGGAGGTTCTCCATCACTGTGTTATGGACTGTTTGATCTTTAGCACCTTTAACACAGAAGTGCAAATATATGCCACACAGATGGAAAGTCATACAGTCACCTAAGCTGTGAGAGAAGCAGGCTGAAAATTATGCAAGTATATCAGGAAGAATTTGACCCTTAGTTTGAACTACAGAGTCATTCCATTTGTACTCTCTCCCCATTTTATTCCATCCCCCAGTCCTCTTAAAAGTCACTATAGTGAGGTGTAGTAGTTAGAATACTGGGCTAGGTCTGCAGAAACCCAGGTTCAAATTCCTGTGTAGCTACAAACTATTGACTGGTCATTATCTTTCAGCCTAAGCTACCTTGCAGGGTTTTTGTGAGGATAAATGGGAGCTGGGCATGTACATCACCTCAGGCTACTTAAGGAAAGGTAGAACAAACAGTTCATAGAATCATAGAATTGTAGAGTTGGAAGGGACCCTGAGGATCATCTAGTCCAACCCGTTGCAATGCAGGAATCTTGCCCACAGCCATCCCTGGGTGGGCTCAAACCACCAACCTTCTAGTTAACAGCCAGACACACTGACCCGGTAGGCCACTTGAGGGTAGTTTCAAGCCACCCCCGCCCCAAAATCAGTTCCTTAAGAAGCTAGCTGAAATGATGTAACACTTGCTTTTTCTTACAACGGATAGAATGAGGGCACAGGCATCCTCTCTCCCCTTTTCCTACCTTTCTCAAATTGTTCAAAAACATCGCTAGCTTTACCTGTTCAACTTAGTTGGGGGAGGGAGGGAGAGATAGATAAATCATAACTTCTGTAACAGTTTCAATTTCAAAGAAATCAGATTGCCAGCTCACTGATTTCTATTCTATTCTATTCTATTCTATTCTATTCTATTCTATTCTGTTCTGTTCTATTCGTCGGCCGAGTGGCCAAATGCTTGCAAGAGTTTTATGGCTCTGTCCATACTTTCCAGACGGCCTGTATGTCAGACCTCCTTTTGGAGGAGAGAATCGGTGACGATTTCAAGCTCTTAAGGAGCTCTGCCAGTGAGAACCGCATTCATTTATAATCTTGGGCAGTCAGAGTGATGTGGTGAAAGAAGAAAGCGAGGGAAATGGGGCCAATTGGCTCCCGGGCTCCGACATGCTTAATAACTTCCTAGAGAAGGAAGGTATTTCTCCACCCTTCCTTCTTCATGCGCTTTAAAAGTTTTGAGTCCTGCTTGCTATACAGAATACACTGCGGTGTGCCTGAAAATCTGGGAAATTTCAACAATCCTTTCTCCCTCCAGAAAACTTGGGCGTAGGTGGGCTTATAATGTATCCAGTCTGAACTACTTGAGGTTAAATGAACTCAAGTGAAATAGGAACAGCAAGGTGGAAAACAAAAAACATTTGCTTTGGATCCATGTGTCTTTTTTTGTCTTGTGCTTTTGATATTTCTATTTTTATATTTTTTAAAACTCCACCATATTCTCAGTCACAAAGTGATAACATTGTGACATATCAAATGCCCCTCCCCACAAAAAAACCACAATGGGAAAATAGAACCTAAAGATTAATCCAATCCTATATACTATGAGCAAACTCATTCTTAAAGTGTGAATCTTTATATACAGGGAACCGGGCAGAGGGCCTTCTTGGTAGTGGCGCCCGCCCTGTATAATGCCCTCCCTTCAGAAGTCAAGGAAATAAACAACTATAGTATCTGACTTTTAGAAGACATCTGAAGGCAGCCCTTTTCAAGGAAGTTTTTAATATTTGATGTTGTTTCGCTTGATGATGATGATGATGGGAGCCACCATAGACGGGGTATAAATTACTATTATTATTATTATTATTATTATTATTATTATTATTATTATTTAGTCAAAGTGGCAGTATCTTTCCTCACACACCGGAGAAGCAGCAGGGTGTTAGGGATGGAGGAACCCCAAGGGATGCAGCTGTACAAAAAGTATTTGGGGGGGAGTGAGGGGGTTTGAAATCTGAAGTAAACAGAGAAAGTCCTAAACAGCTCAGTGAGGACTGAGCATGCTCAGTGACTGTGGAATGCTGAGAGGCTGTTAGGGATAGAAATCATGGAGGGAGGGAGAATAGAATGGCTTATCCTGGAAAGATCATGGCTAGCTGAAGGGAATACTGAGCAGGAGCACTCTGCACATTGCAAATTTATCACATTTGTAACACGAATAGCTACCACCACCACTACATGAAGTTTCAGTTTCTTAAATGCTGAAAGGAAATAGGATAAAATAAACTCTTTCACCAATATTTTATTGCTTGTCAAAATGTGTCTCCTTCAAGTTTACTTTCTGCCTTGCCCTTTTGAAAGTCTCAATTGATGTTTCAGTTTTTCCATTGGCAATAGTTCCCAGACTCTTTCATATCAATTCCTAAAAGTATGGCAAAGGAAGACCTTTCTGTTGTTAACTAGCTGCAGTTGGTAGGGGAGTGACTGTATTTCCTCAAAATTTAAATGGGTGTATACATTTATCCCTTTTGTATTATATCAAAAAGATTTAAGCAGAAGAGTACTTGTGTGGAGTGATGATTTTGAGGCACAGAGGTTTTGCTTTTCCAGGAAAAGAAGATATACTTGTTGATCTTATGGTATGGTTTTAATTTAAGAGAACACACCATAAAATAGAGTGTACTGAATTCTTTCCCTATGATTTATCAAATATATTATTAGCAGAAAAAGCAAGTGGAAAAACAATGCAGCTTTAAATGGCATTTTAAAGATACGTTCACTGGGATTTTTTTCATAATCTATAAAAATAGAATGGACTTTTATCACAGAGTAGCCAGCAAAAACATATGTTCTTTGTAGATTGCACAATGCAATCTAATACTTTGTCTTTAATACACACACACACACACACACACACACACAATTTGTTTTAATAACCTTGTACGACAAAGATGCAATAAATCAAGCAACCAAGGCTAAATGGCAGTTATCTTCATTTCAAAGTAATGTTATTTTCATCACAATCAAAATGATTTTATTTACCTTAAACATTTCAACACAGCTCCTCTTTGAGGCAAATAGCACATACCATTCATATATACTAATGGTGGGCAATCTTTGGTTCTCCTGGTGTTGTTGGACCAAAGTTCCCATTGGTCATGCTGTGTGGGGCTAATGGGAATTGGAGTCCAACAACATCTGAAGTGCCAAAGATTTCCACTCAAGCGTTACTTGCATACGTGGCTATCTAGCCTGTTAAGGTGGTATAAGAGTGCTCAAAATGTATGATGTTGCTGTAAAATAAATCTCTTTAAACCACAGGTGCTCTGACACCACCTACTGAGCAGCAGAGACTCTCAATAACTATGAGGAATAGCTGTAATAAAGAAATCTAGGATGGTTCCTCCAATTCCCCTCTGGACTCAATCTGGAAGGCAAGTGAGGGAAACTGGTCCCCTCCTGTCACTGCTTACATTCGTCAAGTCAAGGAGATGCCTAGCGTTGATATTGGACTTCATGCAGGACTGTGGGCCCCATCATAGATGACCCTCAGGGTCCCTTCCAACTCTATGATTCTATTGATTAGCTATGAATCCCCACAGGTGTTTGATGATGTAACCGATGTCTGACACCAGCCCTGGGTTATGGTATGTGAGGTGGATGTGTTACAAGAAATAACTAATGTACCAAAAGATATCCTAGTGTGGCCTCCTGGACAGAATCGAGCTATTCCTTCAGACCCTGAAGCCTGCTTTACAAGAATACCTGGGTTTGGGCTTGCTTTAAAAAAACACACAAAAACCAGAGGTTTTCCAAACTCTTTAGACCAGTGGAAACATTTCTGTGTTGGAGAGAGTGATGTGGGCACCAGTCACAAAATGGCTGCAAGGGAGCAAAGCATTATGCAACATGGCTGCCATGGGGGAGAGGGCATGGCATAATACAAAATGTGTCATGGTGAAGTTTTTCTCATAATTGGATTTCCATGCCAGAAAACCCTTGAATTCTTCTGTACAGCGGCTAATGGCACAAGAACCCTGTGTCCTCCAATGCTAACTCAAAATCAAAGCCTGCTCAGCCATCCTATATCCACTTACCTGGGAGTAAGTTTCACTAAACACAAAGGATTCAACTAACCCATTGTGCTAGTGGAAGACAGCACAAGGACTCCTTTCCCATATCTTTTCCCTCCATGTGTTCCCATGTCTGCCCCGAATTCACCCTGGAGAACCCCCAGAACAACATGGAGGAGAGGGGTGATGGTTTCATCTGACAAGCAGAAATGCTTGCACTGATGGAATGATAATATTAGCACAATACTGAAGTCTTCCCAAAGAGACTTATTTCTGAGTAGACATGTAAGTTAACAGTGAATTCTTAAGTAGTGATTGGTCTTTAGCTCCTTAGGAAAGAAGCCCAAGCCTGTGCAAAGATTTCACATCTTGCATTTGTCATTTCTGTGCAGGAGGGGATCTTTAACATCCACCCACACTTCTTGTGTGGTAATATTTGAAGAAAATTACTTCTAGGGAACCCACCACAGGAAAGATCCATCCTGGCTGCTAGAAATAAGAAGGGCAGACTATGGAGATTCCAAGGACTACTATAAAATAAGTCCTTCCCCTAAAGGGGAAGGCAAAATAACAGCTTTTAAGGACTCCAGGAATTCCTGTTACTGTTGCAAAACAACTCACTTATCAATCAGAGCCCTGACTGCACTCATTGGCTAAAAGCACTGCTAGGTGGGAGCAACCAGGCTAATTCATTTCAGAGAAATCTCTTAGAGGGGACCTGCACATTTTGCTTCATAAATTTCTTTCTACGAAGGATAGAGGCTTACTTCTTTAACATGAAGGCTCAGAGTCTGGGTGTGTCAAATGGAGACTTTCATGAATGCCATGGCACCCATGAGTATTGGATTGGCAACCTCCGGGATGCAATCTATCAAAATAATTTTATCTGATAGATGAACAGTAACGACAGGCTAACAGTTAAAAATGAATATTTGACAGCAAATGTTTCAGAAATCTTTATTTAAGAATATTAAACAGTGGTCCAAAGCAAAACAAGCGATCTTTTAAATACATGACTCTAATGCTTATATATGTCATATCATAAAAACGTTATCGGTAGCATTTTCCCAATAATACATTTCTCTTTTTCCTTTTACAACTCCATTCCTATATATCCATGGCAGCTTTCTTTTAAAAAGGGGTGGAGGAGGGATTCAAAATAAAAATTTTGGCCCGACTAGGACAGCCTGATCACCTGCACTGCTGTGCATACGATGGCAGATGGGGAAGAAACTATACTGTCCCTTGGAGCCATTCATTTTCTTTCTGTTTCTTTTTTGTTTTGTTTTTTGGCAAAGACTGGCAGAAGGAGCCTGTGAAGTGGGAAAGAGGGAAATGATTGTTTCCCAAGCCATTGTTGCAATATTTGTGTGGTTCCCCTAGAGTTTCTTGCTCTGCTGTGCCAGAAAGAGAGAATCCAGAGCAGCGTGTCTCCAACTTTTTCTGTGGGGGCAGGGGCACATTTAGAAATCTGAGATGCTGCTATGAGCACCACAACATACCCATTTCATAGAAGAAAAACTGGTGCTCCTCAGAACCACCATCAAAAGAAAACGAAAAAAAATACCTACATCCCCCAGGAAATAGAACACAGACAGAAAAACAGACAAACTTCTCAACATACAACCAGAAAAAGCTCCTGTCCCTCAGGTTGTTTTGTTTTTTTAAAGGGAGGTGGAGGCATCCTTGGTGAGTGCCAAGAGTTAGGGTGTTTTAGGGAGCTATAGAGCCTATGGGTGCCACAATAGATCTCCCTCTGTTTTTGCACTTCTGTTCTTCTGATGTGATTCTCTAATCCTCCCCTGTAGCACAGACATTTACACTGGTGGCCAAGGGGAGAGACCTTCTGTCTGTAACAGATGTGGATGCTTTTGGAGGGGTGGTGGTCTATGTTTGTACAACCCCACACTCCAAGTCCACATTGCACTGGGCAGTCATTTTAGAGGCTGCCGTCTATTGTCATTCAAATTGTTTCCGCTCCATGAAACTGATTTCCAACGACACAACCAGAATGTCGTTTCCCTTTTCTTAAGAAGCATGAAAATCTGGGTAAATAGACACTGACAGTGCAACTCTATGCATGTCTACTCAGAAGTAAACCCCCCTGAGTTCAACTGCACTTACTTCCAGGGAACTGTAAGAGGATTGCAGCCTAACTATACCAAAGAATATATAACCTTTCAGAACCTACTCTTTCCTCCTACTTATATGGCTAATCTATGTCAAATAAATATTGTGAGTAAATTTGTTCAATATACTGAACTTCCCATAGGTTAACTGAAAATCAATCTTATGAAAATTGCCAAATGGCAGAGTGTTAAGACACAAGGAGAGGCCATAGCGCTCTCAGCAGGTCCAAGATCTTGTATCTCCAGTCTCAAATCCTAGACAGCCACTGCAAGTCAATGGAGACAATACTCATCTAGACAAACCTCTGACTCAGTAGAACGCATTTCCTATGTTCCTAGAGTGGGGAAGTCTATAGCTGTGTATTTACAATGGAGCTGCTGCCTCTGAAATAAGAGACCATGTACAGTTTAGTTTCACCAGCGAAGGCTGGGAGATACTCCCTTTCTGAAGCCTGGAGAGTCACTGCCAATCGGTGTAGACTGAACTCAATGGACTTATGGTCTGACTCGGTACAAGGCTACTATCTATGCTTCCTTAAAGATATTCATCTCAGTTACATCATCCTATACACAAAAGTCATTTAATTTTTTTAAAAAAACAAACCACTTTGATTAATGATACAAAAGTGGTGAATGCGCCCCACATCTTGGGCTGTGTACACACACTAACCCATTTGTAGCACAAAAAATGTCGTTTTTTCCTCAATCTGGAATTGTTCTTGCTTGTCCTCAACATGCTGCTTTCAGTCTAGATTGAGTCTGGATCCTGCTGTCCACAAGGATGGTTACTTGACGCACATTTGAAAACCCTCCCCTAGGTTAGGTTATCCATGCTTTTTTCCTCCCTGCACACGCCCCAGATGAACGGAGAAGGGAGTGGTGACTCCTGTCTTGTTTGGTGGCACCATCTATTGCAGGTGGACAAACAGAGGGGGGCAGGGGTTAATGCAGATTCAATCTACTATGACCTTTTCTTTATAAGAAAACCAGTTTCTCAAAAAGGACTCTTAAGGGTCGAAAAATAGGCAACAGATCTAGATAGTGTACTTAGTTTTCATGGATTCTAGAATAAAATGTCTTGTTTGTGCAGCCACAGCTGTTTGGATGAGTTTTTGATGCCCTTCCATTTTCAAGGGGGGGTGATGATAATTCTTGCTGTATAAATATTTGTTGTGGTTGGTGTTGGATGAGAAATCAAACATTGCTTTGCTGTAAAAACCTTGTCCTGCGCTCCCTTTCTCTTTCATCTTCTTTTCTATATTGCTCTTCTAGTTTTTGTTTTTCAGAGTCCATACTGTACAAGGTACAATCTGGACATCTTCTGATCTTCTCAAATTGACTAAAATCTGCAACGTACTTCCCATTTGGAGAGAGAGAGACCACAGGCATAAACTCAAAACCCCAGAAGATCTCCTCTGGGATATATGATGTTCGGCTCTGGCAGACGGCACTTGTTGACTCTACGGTGGCATTCAGGAGGACAACCAGTTCAAACTCTTTTTCTTTCAGGTTTTGGGGTGAAAGGTCTCTTAAAGGGCTGCTCTCATCCAATATGTGGTAAAAAGTCAGAGGTAAAATCAGGAATGGACTCTCTGCTGCGGAGTCAACGTGGAATTTAACAGTCGCTTGGTTAAGCAGAATCCTCTCACCTTCTTTAGTTTCGTAGGACTCGAGAAGCTTTCCTGTCAGCTGGCACTGGATCAAGAGACTCTTTCTCATGTTTGCCACTCGGATTACAAGGCACAGGTGCCCATTGTGCTTGGAGATGACAGCACAGTGACTAAATTTAATGGTCTCGGCCCTTTTTTTGGGTCTAGCAATTTTGGCCAGGAAAGTCCCCGTGATGAAGATCTCGATCAAGGTGGTGAGAACCAGCTGAGCAACTAAAAGGAAGATGGCATGAGGGCACTCTTCTGTGATGTAACGGAAGCCATAGCCAATGGTAGTCTGTGACTCCAAAGAAAAGAGAAATGCTCCAGTGAGTGACCTCACATGCATGACGCAGGGGGCCTGGTTCTGCGGGTGTTTGTTCCCTTCCAAATCTCCATGAAGAAAGGCAATGACATAGTAGATGACTCCAAAAAGAAACCAAGTCATTACAAAGGTAGCAGCAAACAAGGTAAGTTTATATCTCCACTTCATGTCGATGACGGTGGTCCACAGATCCTGAAGATAAAGGAGGTAAATGCCATCGACCTTGTCGATCCTCACGTTGCTGTGGCCACTTTTGGACATCACACGAGGTTTGCTCCTTTTCGACTTAGCAGTGATGTTGCCGTTCACTAGTGGCGCTTGTGACATATTGATCTGGGTGGCTTCCATTGTCAGTGTCTTAGACCTAAATAGATGGGGGGAAATAGTTTTTTAAAAGAACAACAACAAAACTATGATAAAACAGACTCTATATTAAAATCACCAGATTATGATTACATTCCATATTTATGGGCAAAAATCTGCTACACTTTGAAAATTTCTGGCATCAGCATGCAATGTTGCACCAAGTTAATTTCATAAGCAGAAAGTAATATAATTTCCTCCCTGGCGTTCATGTCAATATAAATGACTTGACTCAAGAGTCCAGAAAGTAATTTTATCAATTCAGTCCTACATTGTATTAAAATATTTCTCATATTTATTATCATGGAAAGAAGACAGGCCTCTCTTTTTAAAAAACAATAACAACATTAATTTACTGAATGTGATCCACTCAGGAGACAAATATTCCATTAACACTAGACCAATTTAGCTATGATTTTCCAAATCAGTTCTGTAATTATGTCTCCCTTAGAAATGCTGGGGGGAAAGATTTTTAAAATGAGCATTTTGATTTCGATTTTCACAAGTCCTCAATGCCTAGCTGTGTTAGAGGGAAAATAAAAGCAAGCAATCTTGTGAATGCCTAGAAAAGAGCGTGAGAAAGAAATATTTGCACCTGAAAGCTCTTCAAGGCTGTTTACATCATAGGCCTCTCCAATTTCAAAGAGTCAGTGGAAAAAACAGGAGGCAATTCACAAATTCAGCTTTCTAGCAATGGGCCCTGCCCTTAGCAAACACAGAAGGGACTGGACCACAAGTTTCTCAAAGTTTGTTTACTGTGAATCCTAGCTCAGTGCAGATGGAGATGAAGTGTGCCTCTGTCCAGGACTGAACAAAGCGCACAAAAAGCAGGAGGTGCCTGTCTTTGCCAGCTTGATGGGACAAAAAAAGACACGGCTTCCACGACCAGACAGTGGTTACGCAGCACAAGGCCAGAGCAAGTTAGCAGGAGTTTCCAATAACAAAACTTCCTGTGCTTAAATCCCCCCCACAAAAAAACCCCATGCATCCTTTGTACTCTGGCAATTCATGCAGCTAGTATTGTTTTGTTCCATTGTTTGGCTTCAAGAGAGAACTTTAATAAGTGATTCATTTTTATGAACCACAGGAGAGAGAGAGAAATACTTCTCCCTTGTAACTCCTTAAAAGAACATTTCTGGAAATCAACGTACTTGTAGTAGACATGTGTGCCAACCCAGAATAACAATGTAATTATTCACTAATGCAACTTTCCTGTTTTGTCAGTAAAAGAATATTTATGTTTACACCCATAACTGAGTAACTGCTGGCAGGCTGAAGGTAAATTTGTGTTTATTTTTATTTCCTTAACCAGCTCACATATGACAACTCTTGAAAGCTCAAAAGGAGAAGGGGGAAAACACCAAGGATCCCAGTAAAAGAACTTTTGTGTGACAGTAAAAACAGCACCACACACACACACACTGCAACATGTCCGGAGGAAAAAGACAAAGTCCTGATGATGTGAGCAAGAACAATAAAGAGAGGAGGAGGGGCAGTCCATCAGAAAATGTGCTTTAGTTTCAACGCACTAACAACTGGGACATGGGCAGGAGGAAATGCAGCTTAGGTAATGGCATACAAATCCCAACCCGGAAAACCATTTGAGAAGAAATGCATGGTACTTGTTCACAACCTTTGGACAAGAAAATATACTGTTTGGTTTTTTTAACCAATGGACAGAGAACAGTACCAGATTTTCTCTCAGCTCCCCAAGGTTTGATCTTCATCCTGCAGCTTGTTACTTTCTCTCTGACGTACAAATGGAGCTTGGGTGTGAGTCACCCATACTTGCCACTGGGAGAAGATGGTAAATTCATTTACACAAGTAGGAAATGAATGGAAAAGCCCTTGTGCTGTTGACCAGAATGGGGGTGGAGAAGCTCCATCTGCAAAACAGAGTCCGTGAACCCATAAGGAATTGTTGAACTGAGCCGCCTATAGTCACCCAAGGGCAAGAATTAATTTGCCAAGGTAACTAATCCTCATTTCTTCTTTTAACATACTACCCTTTTGGGTGTTGGCAGCCCACCGTGCAAAAACATGACTCAGGAATTACAAGAAATCAAGCAGCTCCTGCCAGAACAGAAGTGCGTAAATCCACTAATGAAGAGGGCTGCAGCTGACCTCTCAAAACTGAATTCCTTCCTAGTGAACACATCATGGAAATAAGCAACCTTCTGGCCTAGTCAATTTCACACCTCAAGTATTGGAGGTGGAGGTGGTGAGAGACAGCCAGAAGGCTAGACTAACCATGTACAGTGGTACCTCTGATTACGGACACTTCTGGTTATGAACGCTTCAGGTTACAAGCTCCACTAATCTGGAAGTAGTTGCTCCTGATTGCAAACTTTGCCCCAGGATGTGAACGGAAATTGTGCGCTGGAGGAACCCGTGCAGCGGGAGGCCCAATTAGCGAAAGCACGCCTCAGGATAAGAATGGTTTCAGCTTAAGAACGGACCTCTGGAACGAATTAAGTTCATAACCAGAGGTACCACTGTATCCTTTACAAAAGGCAGTCTTCTGCTTGAGGGAGTTCTCCATTTGAAAGGTGGTCTGGTACGAATCCAGGTTAGACGTAAATAATTCTAGGAAGAAAGAGTAGGGACCTTGAAGGCTCCCAACAACAGCAAGCACCTAGATAGTGGACTGAACAGGCACACAAGCCACCTGGTTATTGACTTCCCCATTATGGCCAAATGCATTGCATTGCTATTTACCGTATTTTTCGCACCATAGGGTGCACCGGACCATAGGGCGCACCCAGTTTTTAGGGGGGAAAATCAAGGAAAAAAATATTTCCCCCCCCCAGCCCCAAAGAGCAGCGTACAAGGCTGCACACAACCTCTCCCTGCCAGAGGGGTTGTGCGCAGCTATGGAAGAAGGCAAGGCAGCAAGCGGGATGGATCCCGCTCGCTGTTTTGGCTTCCCTTTAGCCCGTGCAGCCTCTCCTTGCCGGGAGAGGCTGTGTGGGGCTAAAGAAGCCATAGCCCCGTGCAGCCTCTCCTTGCGGAGGGGTTGCGCGCAGCTATGGAAGAAGGCAAGGCAGCGAGCGGGATGGATCCCACTCGCTGTTTTGCCTTCCCCTTAGCCCCGTGCAGCCTCTCCTTGCCGGGAGAGGCTGCGTGGGGCTAAAGAAGCCATAGCCCCGTGCAGCCTCTCCTTGCGGAGGGGTTGCGCGCAGCTATGGAAGAAGGCAAGGCAGCGAGCGGGATGGATCCCACTCACTGTTTTGCCTTCCCCTTTAGCCCCATGCAGCCTCTCCTTGCCGGGAGAGGCTGCGTGGGGCTAAAGAAGCCATAGCCCCGTGCAGCCTCTCCTTGCGGAGGGGTTGCGCGCAGCTATGGAAGAAGGCAAAGCAGCGAGCGGGATGGATCCCGCTTGCTGTTTTGCCTTCCCCTTCAGCCCCATGCAGCCACTCCTTGCCGGGAGAGGCTGCGTGGGGCTAAAGAAGCCATAGCCCCGTGCAGCCTCTCCTTGCGGAGGGGTTGCGCGCAGCTATGGAAGAAGGCAAGGCAGCAAGCGGGATGGATCCCGCTTGCTGTTTTGCCTTCCCCTTTAGCCCCATGCAGCCTCTCCTTACCGGGAGAGGCTGCGTGGGGCTAAAGAAGCCATAGCCCCGTGCAGCCTCTCCTTGCGGAGGGGTTGCGCGCAGCTATGGAAGAAGGCAAGGCAGCGAGCGGGATGGATCCCGCTCGCTGTTTTGCCTTCCCCTTTAGCCCCGTGCAGCCTCTCCTTGCCGGAGGGGTTGCGCGCAGCTATGGAAGCAGGCAAGCTGTTTTGGCTTCCCCTTTAGCCCCGTGCAGCCTCTCCTTGCCGGGAGACGCTGCGCAGGGCTAAAGAAGCCATAGCCCCGTGCAGCCTCTCCCTGCCGGAGGGGTTGCGCGCGGCTATGGCACAAGCCTGCATTCGCTCTATAGGACGCACACACATTTCCTCTCAATTTTTGGAGAGGAAAAACTGCGTCCAATAGAGCGAAAAATACGGTAAATTATCACAATTATTTATAAATTTTCATCTCTACATATAAATCGGCAAATACATTTTTTATGCAGATTGGTAGTTTCTCTTGTCATCTCAATGGTGATACATTTCCTCTTTTTCGACAATGCACAAGTGGCCGCAATAAGGAGCATTTAGCCCCTTAGAAGGGCAACTTGGACCCAAAGGAGCTTGCTGAGATCAGCTTGCAAGAGAAGAGTTGCAGCCTTGAAAAGACAGGGTGAAAACTCCCCTTTAGACATGTCTTCTGGTGAGGAGGCATCATGTCTGCATGGGTCTACTCCAAGTCATTTCAAGCAACATGCCACTTGGAGCTCCTAGCAAAACACATTTCCTGAAGTGCCAAGGAACATGGTGGCAGTGGGATCAATTTTCTAATTGCTTCCTAGCAGCAAATGACTCAGGAGCTCAAATTAGTGCAGAAATGGGCAGACAGAATTTTCATTGGTTCTGCCAGATGGAGCCCTATTCCTCCAATCCTCAAAGAACTACATTGAGTGACCTTTTTGCTCCCAAATCCCATTCGACAGGCTGGTACTTAACTTTAGAGCCCTAAATAGCTTAGAACCCAAATATCTAAAAGAGGACCTTGAATACCAGCCAGGCCATGCCATAAGATCTTTAGTGGAGGTCCTTCTCCAAGTACTGTCCTTAGCTCAGATGCATTATGTAGGCACTAAGAAGAGGGTCATTCATTCATTCATTCATTCCATTATCTGCAATAGTGCCCCAGCTCTAGAATTCCCTCCCCAGAGAATTCCTTCCTGGTGCCAACATGACAATGACTTAAAACACTTTGATTTGCTTAGGCATTATAAAGCATGATATTGCTTTAGTCTGACTTTAGCTGTTATAAGTTTTTGATGCCTCCCAGTCTGTAATTGTTTGATGGACTTATGCTTTATTGCAGAGCTTTCCAAACTTTTCATGTTGATGACACACTTTTTAGACATGCATCATTTCGCAACACTGTAATTCAGTTTTACTAGCAAACCAGAGATTAAACTAACCCCTTTCCAGCCCCAGGAGGAGCAAGGGTAGTGTTCGCGCAACCAGAGGCAGAGCTAGCTTCTCTGGCCCCCGGAGCGCCACACATGCTGTGCACCCGGGGGCGGGGCTAGCCACCCATGGGGGTGCCGCCCATGGCAAGCGGTGAGCATCCCAGGGGGGCAGGGCGGCAATGTCACCCCCCTCAGGGATGACACCTGGGGCGGGCCGCATCTACTGCACCCCCTTCTTCCGCCAGTGCACACAACACACTTACACACTGTAGCTGACACACTGACGTGTCGCGACATACAGTTTGGAAAGCTCTGGTTTATTGTATTTTCATTTTTTAAGTAATGCTTATTAAAAACCATCCTGGAATCCAGTGGTTGAATGGCAGTCTAGAAATCTTTTAAATAAACAAACAGACCTGGAACTAGAATGCAGATTGAATACAAAATATCTTGCACTGTATGTTCCAGGGAAACAAGATGTGGAAAGAGATGTGGTGGGCACATCCAAGCCAGCTGTTTCCAACCTGGTGCCCTACATATGTTGTTGAACTACAGCTCCCATCAACATGGTCAATGGTCAGGGATGCTGTGAGCTGAATTCCAGCAACATCTGGAGGGCACCAGGTTGGGGAATGCTGCCCCCAAATGGTTGGTGGAACACCTTAACCCTGAGGCAGTGTCTGAGTGAGGCAGTTAAAAAGGTTGTGAGGCAATCCTCAAGCAAACACACAACAGCCACCCAAAAGAATGGACAATAGAAACACAGGAGCTGCCTTATACCGAATTACACTATTGGTTCATCTAGCTCAGAACTGTCTGCACTGACTGGCAGCAATTTTCCAGGGTTTCAGACAAGAGGCATTCCCATCCCTACCTAGAGATGTCATGGATGGAGACTGGTACCTTCTGCATGCAGAGTAGATGTTACAGCAGCCTTTCTCAACCTGTGGGTCCCCAGATGTTGTTGGACCACAACTCCCATCACCCCGAGCTAGCAAGGCCAGAGCTCAGGGATGATGGGAGTTGTAGTCCAACAACATCTGGGGACCCACAGGTTGAGAACCACTGTGCTACAGCCTTTATGGATTAGATCTTGGCTTGTTAGCCTACATCCAGTCCACCATTGCACTCACATGTCAGGCTACAAGAACATGTCCCCACCCTATCCAAATGATAATAATAATTTATTATTTATACCCTGCTCATCTGGCTGGGTTTCCCCAGCCACTCCGGGCAGCTCCCAACAGGATGTTAAAAATGCGATAAAACATCAAATATATTGCTGATATATTTTCCCTTTTCCTCCTCAGCTTACACAGAGTCTTCCTGCTTCCTTATTTGGCCCCTCCATCTCCATCTATTGACTCTTAAGAACACAAGACAAGGTAGCTTGATCAGGCCAATGGTCCAACATCCTGTTCTCACAGTGGCCAACCAGATGCCTGTGGAAAACCCACAAGCAGAGCATTAGCAGAACAGTCTTCTGCCCACCTATGACTCCCAGCAGATGGAATGCAGAAGCATGCTGCCTCTGACAGTGAAGGCGGAACATAACTTCATGGCTAGTAGCCACTGATAGCCTGGTCCTCCATGAATTTGTCTAATCTTTTGGTGGCCATCACTGCCTCCTGTGGAGTGAGTTCCACAGTTTAAACTATGCACAGTGCAAATAAGCACTTCCTTTTATCTGTCCTCAATCTCCCAAAATTCAGCTTCATGGGATGTGCATGAATACCTGTGCCACGAGAGAGGGAGGAAAGCTTTTTGCTATTGCTTTCTCCATACTTTTATAAACTTCTACCAGGTTATCTCTTGCTTGTTACTTTTCTCTAACCTAAAAAGTCCCAAATGGTGCAGCTGTTCCTCGCAGGGGAGTCGCTCCGTCCCCTTGATTGTCCTTTTCAGACCCTTTTCCAACTCTATCCTTTTTGAGGTGAACACAGCATTCCAAAAGCGGCTGCACCACAGATTTGGAAAACAGCATTATGATATGAACAGTTACATTTTCGATTCCAATGATCCCTAGCATGGAATTTGCCTATTTCCGCAACTCCGGTATGCATCAGAATCTCCTGAAGTAAGTCTAAAAGAAAGTGCACACATGCACACATCACAAGAGAAGAAATCCCCCCCTCCAGCCATTAAACATGTCTATGTATTATTATTATTATTATTATTTCAAGTCTTACATTGCCTTAGGGTGATAAGCCTCTGAAGAAGAAGAAGAAAGGAACTCCAGACATAGGGAGCAACTCACAAGCATGCCTTTCAATTTGCCCTCATGGCTTGACCTGTGGTTCTCAATGTTATCAGGCCCTCATGACCAATTTAGTTGGGACACAGGGCAGGCTTTTAGGGCCTTCAGTGTCTAATGAGCCCACATTCACCTCTGGCATAGCAGAGTGAGGATTCAGCTGTGAATTTCCAAAACAATGCAAAGCATTTTCCCAGGATTGTGCCTTGGGTGAAGGAGCTCCAGGCTCTCTCTTACACAGTTCAAGATCCCAAGCACCAGCCTGCTCCTGTACAGAAGGGCCGCAGCCTCACTTTTGGCCACTGTTCCCTTGGCTCCAGTGATTTTGCCATTTTTCTCACTGTGTGTCAAGGCAGTGTCTTCTCTATTATCGAGGCTTATAAAGCTCTGCATTTCTGAATCCCTGACCTGTTAAAGAAGCATTAGAATAGCATCTCACCAGTCCTTGGTGCCTTCCTCTTTCCATTTGTGTTTCTTTATTAGGTAACATTCACGTATCCACTTTAGTCACTTCCTTTCTTATCCTGGAATGGATCCCATCCGATCCTGGCTTCCCCCCACCCCACCCCAACTTCCTGCATTCTGTTTCTTTCATCATCTCTCTTCTCATGTGATCCTGAATTCCTGTTGTTTATATCCTTAAAGCCCACAGAAATCCATGGAGGTTTATTTTTTCCCTTGGCAGAAGTATCCCCCCTCCCCTTTTCCTCTGCCATGCTTGTCAGAATAGGGGCTGGTTGCCACAAGGGGCCATTGGATACTCAATTTTGTTGCAATGATGATACCCGCACTAGGAAAAGACCCTGAGGCAAGCAGTAAACTTATCCTCAAAGGCTAGTTGCATCCCCACCTCCTCCCTCCAAGCTTGACTGACTTCTGCCTGGAAGCATGAAAGATTGCATTCTTTCCAAACCTCTGCTTTGTTTATTCCAATATTCTCTGTCGTAAGACTGGATATTCCAGTTAACTCGCAGAAATGTGCCATCCACTTTCTTAGCCCTGTCAATGTCACTTGATGTACAGTGGGGCCAATGAGCTCTCCAGCCCAATTTTGAACTGAGATGAATTTTTTTTTCCTTTTGCCACATCAGTCATCAAATGCTCCCCTGCTTTTCTGCTGTGACACAGAACAAAAATAAAAGAATGGGTATCTCTTTTCCACTGCCATCTCATACGATGGGTACGGAATAAATAAATGATCTATTTGTGGGGAACATTTCCATGAAAATTGTGAAGTTGGGGTAGGACAGAGATTGCAATAAAATAGATGTGTATATCCCTGGAAGATATGGGCAGGGCAGTGGTGAAGCTGGATTATTTTGTACTCTGAACTTAATGGTCTTATGATGGTGTTGGTTAGAGCTATAAACAGCCATGCAAAGCCAACAATTATCATTTCTCTTCCCACACCAACATTCCATATTTTACAACTGATATGTTTGGAGGAAGGGAAAGAGCTTGCCAACACTGCTTAACAACAACAACATCTTTGAGCACGTGCAGTTTTGCATTTGAAATGCACTTGCCTCGTAGCACCATCCTGATGATTACAGGAAATGTAGTTTGGCAAGGTGCTGAAAATCCCAATGCTTGCCCTGTCTGTTGTGCACAGAAACATGATCATAGAATTAGAGTTGGAAGGGACCCCGGGGGTCATCAAGTCCAACCCCCTACAATGTAGGAATCCTAACTAAAGCATCCATGACAGATGGCTATCCAACCTTTGCTTAAAAACCTCCAGTGAAGGAGAGTACACAACCTCTCAAGGGAATCTGTTCCACTGTCAAACAGCTCTTGGGGTGACATACAGTGGTACCTCGGGTTAAGTACTTAATTCATTCCGGAGTTCTGTACTTAACCTGAAACTGTTCTTAACCTGAAGCACCACTTTAGCTAATGGGGCCTCTTGCTGCTGCTGCGCCCCTGGAGCACGATTTCTGTTCTCATCCTGAAGCAAAGTTCTTAACCTGAAGCACTATTTCTGGGTTAGTGGAGTCTGTAACCTGAAGCGTATGTAACCCGAGATACCACTGTATACTAGTTTATCGCTGGTGTGTCCATATTTCCTGAGCTGATTGTGTTTCTTTGAGCAACATTTTGCAGTCTGTGGCTCAGTTACTTGTGCCACCCATGTCTTACTAACACAAGTGTTTGTGGCAGGTACTAGCTAATCTTAATCAATGGATAAACTTCGATGTTTTAAAATACCTTCGGCATTTAAAATAGCTGTGCTTCCTTGCAGGCATATAAATATATTCCAATTATACATTTGCCAAAAAAACAAAAAAAAAAACCAGTTTAACCTCTTGGATATCAAAGAATGTTCATATAGTTCTGTTTAGAGCCTTCTGTTGGATAGAAGGTTAGTGTATCAAATAATATCTTATGCCTTCATGGAGACTTTACGGACAAAGCATTCAGCAAATCCAATAGGTTTATGGCATATGGCTTGTCATCATAAACTATTTATTTTAGGAGCCATCTCAGTTGATTTGTGTTAGATGTATGAGTGGGCGAAGCTTTTAGGATTACAGTGGTACCTCTGGTTACGTACTTAATTCGTTCCGGAGGTCCATACTTAACCTGAAACTGTTCTTAACCTGAAGCACCACTTTAGATAATGGGGCTTCCTGCTGCTGCCGTGCTGCTGGAGCACGATTTCTGTTCTTATCCTGAAGCAAAGTTCTTAACCTGAAGCATTAGCGGAGTCTGTAACCTGAAGTGTATGTAACCCGAGGCACCACTGTACTGCCACAATCCATGCAACAGTGAAAGGCTTGCAAATTGCTATTGTTATTTAGTGACCAAAGAGCAGGCTGTATTACATTTGATGTTGGTTGGCCAAAATTGTTTTTTCATGGAAATCAAAACCGTTTTAAAATGCAGTGACTCTTACATCTGCTATTTTGTTTAGCAGCAGGAGTTCTAACAAAGCTGCTGGAATAGAGACAGCACCTTACACAAAGAATCCCCCATTCCCTGCTGCGAGCAGACGATTATTTTTTTTTTACGTTTTATTTTATGAATGACGTTTCCGGAGTTGCAACATTCTCAGGCCTTTTGCTTCTCTCTTGCCAACTTCCTTGAATTCGGACACCTTCACAGTGGATCTTCATTAGCACAGCTTGACATCCAAAACAGAGTTCAGTGATTTTCCACTTCTCCCTCTCTCACACCCTTGCCCCAGTTCATGCTGTGTGAATATTACCTGCCTTTTTAAGACAGAATGTTTCTACAGATATTAGCACACTGAAGAGCTAAACTTTCCATTCCTACAGCTCCACGTGCCAGATCTCAACTGCAGGTCACCAAGAGATTTTGTCATCTGCATGCCCATGCAAAAACAACACTGAGCATTTCAGCTCTGTATCAGTTTACATCTTCAAAGTGCTAAGCAAACATTAATTAATCCTAACCACAGTCCTGCAGAGAAGGCAGTATCTATATCCCCATTTTACTTACATAGGAGGAAAGGAGCCTAGTCATATGCAGATCCCTGTAACGACTGGCTAGCGAGCCAAGAACAAAACTCAGGCATCACTCCCAGCCTTTCGCTTTCTTGCAGTGCTCTAGTTTCAAGTTTCCCCTTTCCCCTTGATTTTTGATGGGCCTCCTGCCTGGCATCACTTTCTCCATACTCTAATCTCTCTTTTCTTTTCAATGTCTGCACAGACTCCTGCTTATTAATTAAGAGTGACACAGAGACAAGTGCCTTGTCCTGCTACCCCCCAGTCTGGTGATCTGTTAAGCTCAGCATAGTCATTCTCCTGTCAATTAAAACAGCTTGCCCAGAATGGTTGGTCTTTTCTACCGCTATCTCTCGGCTTCTTCACATGATGCAGCAATCCATGACATCATGGAGCTCTCTGTGTGCATGAAGGCTCATTTGTTTATCGTTCTTAAAAAGCATATAGGATAGCTATCAGTGCTACAGAGAATAAGGCCCCCATCTGCACTATATATTTAAGGCAGTATCGTACTACCATAAGCAGTCGTGGGAAACTGTAGAATCCCAGGAAGTGTAGTTTGGTAAGGGTTCTCAGAGTTCCCTGGGAAGAGGGATTCACCGTTAAACCACTCTGGGAATTGTATCTCTGTGAGGAGAACAGTGGTCTCCTAACACTCCTCAACAAACTATAGTTCCCAGGATTCTTTGGGGAAAACATCACATTAACAATATTCCAGCTGTTAATATGAAACCAATGCAGTATGGGCTATGTATGGAAAGTTATTACAGGTTGTGTGCCAAGATGAATAATGCCAGGCTTAACCCTGCATAACTTGGACCTAAAGATTTATGCTGCACATCACCCTAAACTGTATTGTTATAAAAAATACTATTAATCACCGCTTGATAATACTATAGGCATGTATAAGTAGCACATACTTATTTGGCTTAATATCTAAACAGTGTGCCAATCACACACACACACAGAGGGAGAGAGAGAGAGAGAGAGAGAGAGAGAGAGAGATGCCTGTCTTTTTATAGCACTTAGTTATTAATGAATACATTTCATGCTCCAGGACATTTTTGCCAATGGCAGGTATGGGCTAGAATGGATCCAGGAGTTCCCTGGATTCCTGGTTTGCCATCCAAAAATGGAACAAACATTGCATCATTGGGGGAGTTGTTATTTTAATGTGGATTCCCGGACTATTCAATCAATTTCAACTGCATTCAGTGGGACTTCCCAAAATTGTCTCATTGTTTTATTTCATATGCTGGCCAGCCTAACAGATTATTGAATCCAGACACGTATTTCAATAATTTTAGCACAATTTTGTTTTGTAGCTTTGTTGTAGATAGTATGGCATGGTATTTTCTGCAATGATTAATCTCCCAGAGAGACTCTTCATTAATGAACTATAATTCATTATTTTGCCAGATCTGTTAGGCTTAGGATGAGAAAGACATTCAGTATTGTTTTGTATTTAAATGTGAACTCACCTCATTTGCACTTTCTGCAACAATATGTGAGCCAAAATACAGCTATACTTCCAAATATGCCCTTCTCATTTTATGGTGCAGTTCATCAACCAAAAAATTACAAACTAGAGGGGAATGTGCATAAAAATTCATATTAGCGAAAATATCATTATAATGCTTTATAGGAGGGGAAATTGCTTCCAAAAATGTATGTATTAGACAAAAATGTATAAAACACATACTAAGAGGCTGATGAATTTTCATGAGAACAAAAAATTTAAAAAATTTGAATTCACACCGTGACCTGGAAATGTGGTGAATGGAAGGTAAGACCAGAAGACTAAGAAAACTGACAGATGGGGACCATCCTTAGAATGGCCACCCTGAGTTGTAGCAGATACAGTTTTGGTGGGCTGCTACTTTTCATGTGTATGTGTCAAATTTCAATAAGTCTTTGTTTCTCTCTGTATCAGCACTGCTTCAGCATTTTAAAAGGATGCAGACATATGGCAGGGGCTCAAAAATATCACATGCAAAGATAGGAGGGAAAACTTTTACCCTCTTTAGCACACAATTTTACATCCTGCAGTTAACGTTCATTGAATTGGTTTTTGACTTCAAAACATATGAGCCATATAAAGCAGTGCTTTTTGATAATGAGTTCCGATAACAAGTTTATGATTACTTCTGAATTGCACTATAGCAGTAACACCCATAAAGGAAAAGTCATTGGAAAGTGAGGGCCTTTTAGTACACATGAAATTAAGAGTACTGCAAATACAGTAGTGAAATGGAACTGTGGAGAACTACCTAAGCAGATTCACTGGAATGCTTTGTTTCATTAAATCTGGGGCACTTTCCCTTCCCCTCCCTTAAGCTCACAGGTTTTCATTCATAGAATAGGAGAGTTAGAAGGGACCCCAAGGGTCTTCTAGTCCAACCCCCAGCAATGCAGGCATTACATTTGCATTAGACACTTCTTACACCAGTTTTAGTAGTCTGTGCATTCATTCCTGAGACTGGTCTTCACATCAAGATTTCACGTACATCAGAAAGGCATCTATTTTCTTCTGCACTGCCTGTCAGCTGCAATCTCAGTTGCAACTTCAGGCTAGACTATATATAGTATCCGTGGGGACACACCAATATCACTGGATCCACAACGCCCAAAAGTTTCAGTAACTGTTACAAGAACCTTTAAAGATCAGAAAATATCATTATCCCCATTTTGCAGATGGAGAGGATAGCTGAGGCAGAAGTTTGGCTGGTCTACCCAGGGAGTTTGCTATTAAGGTGACAATTGAACTGGGGGGTTAATGAAGGCAATCCTCTTACAGCACAATCCAGTGCATGTTTACTCAGAAGTAAATGCCACTGTGTACAACAGAGCTTACTTCCAGGTAAGTGTGCATAAGGACACAGCCATTATCTATAATGCTATAATGACCTAAAAATCTATGGTGTTTTAGTGAACACCTGCCCTTGTGTCTAATTCTGCACATATATGCCAGCACTAGTTGGTAGGGTCAAGCTGTTTCAGTTGCAATCCATCCAATTCCACACCCTCCCACTTCTGTTCCCCACTAGTTCCCCAACATCACATTCTACTGTGGCTAATATCCAACTCAGGATGGTTGTTCCTATGCCTCTGCTTAACCTTCTGTGTTTATAGCTTTGTTGATAATCTCAAAGCTATCACTTTCTCTACTTTACACAGTCAGACAATCCCCAGTAGTCTTAGTCATAGGACTCTCCCCTTGGTCCCCAAACTCAAGACTAGCTGCCCTTACATAAAAACCCATGAAGTAGATATTTTATGCAGGAGGAATTAAGGCACAATGAGTTGTCCAGGCCCACCAGGAATTTCACCCTTCAGACCACAGTGTTTTGAATTTTTATGTGTTATGTGAGGCCACAACAAGGTCTGTATTTCAGCCAGAAGTCATCAGTGGCTGAGCTCCCCCTGGCAAGATACACAAAACAAAATTGATGAAATGGAACCCAGTTCAGAGAAGGTTAACCATGACTAAGTCCCACAGGCATCAGTTGGGTTTCAGTTGGTTAGGACAGATAATTTGTCCACTGATTTCAGTGAGACTTGAGCATTATTAACTTTATCTAGATTGGAGCCATTGCCTCTCAGAACAGCAGCTCCTCAGGGTGGGGTGAGTGGCAAAGCATCCATGATATATGGAGTGGTATATTAGCCTTGGCACACTTTCGGAAATCAACCACTAGCCATAGCTCTCCAAACTAGGAGATGACTAGAACATAGGATTATTCCACACATGGCATGGTCCTTGCAAATCTGTATATCACCATGTATCTCAATTTCCTTGCAGTCCTGGGGTCTTTCATCTTGATCTACTTATTTCGCAATGGAAATGTGCAGCTGTTGGCATTTGCCCTTAAAGTAAGCAAATTGCCATATGGTTGTGCAGGTGTCACAGTCACCTTGAACGATTGCCTGTGGCATGAATGATGCCACATTGACCATCTTACTGACAGAAGAGGAGTTTTCCAGTTAAAGCAACTACCTAGAGGAGTGGTGGATTTTCTTCCTCTGAAGGTCTTCAAGCTGGACTGCCATCTCTATGGGGTGATCTAGCTCCAGATTTCCTGCAGCAAGCAGCAGGTGACATTAGCTGTCCTACAAGATCCTCTCCAACCTTTTGATTTAAGCAACACCACTCTCTCCTCATGCCAGTTCCATTTTTATGTTATTTATTATTTGTAAAACATTGGAGCTGAGCATCCTTGCCGCTCCCCAGCAGAGACACACACACACACACAAATTGCAACTTTCATGCAGGGGTCTGTTCACCTAAATACTAAAAAGCAGCAAAGCCCCACCACTTTGCAAACGTTCTTTTCTTCTTCTTGCAGTACAATTCAATGCAAGCTTACTCAGAAGTAGACTCTGTACAACGTGCTCCTTAGAAATAGTGTTTGGCATTTCTAAGTAGCCACAGTTATATGAAGTGTTTACCTCCTCTCCATTTTTAAAAATACATATATCATAACAAAGTCTGTTTGAATATTGTGGATTTTGGCTTTATACTTTGTTGGTTTTTTATTCCTAGGTTGCTTCCAGATGACCTGTTTAATGAGCACCCGTCCTGATTTGTTTGTGGCGAGATTAAACAATGCTGTATCAAGCATGTATTGTGTTGGCCTACACTTTCCCACCACTTTCCTTATTGCAAAAAGTCCAATCATTCGTGGAAGCAGGTTTGTTTTGCAACAACTCCCAATCCATAATCTAAATATGCCAGTATGTGAGCAAATGCCATTAAAAATAATGACAACATCCATCTGTCAATCTATCTATCCACACATACACAATGTGGTGGGGCAAACCACACATCTCTTCTGTGAAAGAAATCTTGTGAGAATATTGCCCAGAGGCTAAAAGAAAAAGAAGAACCATGGGTGATATGTTCACTAGCTAAGCCCTTCTGAAATATTTTGGAGATAGGAAAGTCCTTCCTCACTATGGAGGTATGGAGGCAGTGATTTCTGTCCCACTCTGTGTTCCTCACAATCAGCACTTGTTTCATCTCTCCACAATTTGGCTTCTGCTAAAACCTTCCTTTTTTTGTATTTCTAACTGCTATAGACAAAACTAACATAATAAATTATGTAGTTAATTATGCAATTAATTTCAATGCATATCAGCGGAAGGGAAACATCAAAAACAGTTATAGCAAATCCTGCTACATGATTGCTTACATGATTTCCATTCCTGACCTTGGGTGAACATGTGAATTGGGGCCATTTCTGCCCCTGTGTCCATTTATTGAATTCTCTGACATCCCTACTCTTCACACACTTATCTTGAAACACACCCAAAGCATAAATACTCTACATTTGAAAAAACAACAGGGTTGTACCTTGGCATGGCTTTTAATTGAAAGAGAGACATTCAATCCCTTTGTATTTTTAAGAGAAGCCTTTCCCAGTTCACGAGCCTAAACACACCCCTGTGCTAAGCACATAAAAAATATGAAAATGTTTGCATTCATTTAACACATACGCTAAATACAAAGAAACCCATGGAATGAATTGCTGTTTATGTACACAAAGGAAAGGGAATGATTAACAATCGGCTGAAATAAATTTTGGGGTAGATTGTTAAAGCTTCAGCATGGGGCCTACACAAAATCTATGGCTGGTGCCCCTATCACTCATGACCACGGCTCATTGCCAGCTCTCAATTTGGGAAAGCCTTTGGTCCTTTGGGCAAGGCCCCTTTTGACACAGGCCTACCTCCTCCTTGCTGCCATTGTCACCTGCTGTTGCTCTCCTTGCCAATGCTGTCTTCTTGTTTGCCAAGGAGAAAACTAGTGAGCTAGCGAGCTAGTGAGCAGTGGCAGTGGCTGCTTCCTCCTCCTTACTGCACTTGTTCATCCTCTCTGGAACAACAAAGGAGAAAGTGGCAACAGTGAGGAGAAGGAGCAGGAGCTAATGGGGTCTTTGCAGTGTGACATCTCTTCAAACCTCTGGATACCAGCAGGTGCCTAAATACGTCAGTCTCTGACACCAGCCTTGCCTCAGTCAAGAGAAATGCAGGTGTTCAAATTCACACACAACACATGCAAACACTGACTGGCCAAAGGAAGAACCTGAACAATATGTGCGTATTTTTATGCATGCACATATTTATGGATGCTGCTTCTGAAAGCAGTGAATCAGAGTCCAAACCAAATCTTGTGACACGCACATGCACACACACACGTGTTGAATTGTATTTTTAGAGGTTTTTTTAAAAACTATTTAAATGTGATTTTTTTGTGGGGGGGGGTGTTAAAAAGAAAAGAAAAGAAACAAAAACAGTACAGCTTGATGCAGAAACAGGAAGGAATGGACACTTCCAAAAGTGTCACTGACCAGAAACAGACTGATTCATCCATTCCCATTTCCAATCAAAAAGAAATTCTGTTTACACATTCAACTGGAGTCTATAGCTTTCCTCCCTCCTTCTAAGAATTAGTACAGCTTTGGAGATCCATTAATATAACTGAGCTTGACAAATGTCCATGGTGCTTTCCTAGGACAAAACTCTTTTTAAAATATCAGCTTGTCTTCTAGCAAAAATTTCATGATCCGTTTCTAGATTATTCTTACATATATATTTTTCTCACCAATCTATGTATGTGGTCAATTTATAGTTTAAAATACTTTTTCACACGCACACCCATATATGTTTTCCACTGAAGTCTGTGCTTTTTCCGAGACCCACCCAAATTCCAGTACTTGGCTGGTGAATGTGCCAAGTTTTCTTGCTCTCTATGCAACGAATGGAAAAAAATGCCCCCCTTTTTTCCATTTCTGCACATTCTTGGAGAAAGGAAGGAAAGTGCTCCAGAGGAATTTGGTCCTACCTGTTGTTTCAAATGTGAAACATGAAAGCGTCTCAGAGCAAGTAGCCTGGTGCCTGCAAGTGAAACTGTGTTCTACAAGAATCACTGAAATTGAGTATGATTTCCAGAAAGAAGCAGAGGAGAGTGACCATGTTTCAAAAGAATTATAAAACAAGAAGAATGCAAGATCCCATGATTCTTTGTTCCAGTTCAATATTATGTCAATGAGTCCCTTGAATTCATTGATGTTTTATGAGGGAGGTGAAAACATCAAAGCTCAACAGGGAAAACTATTGAGTTTTCCATAATGAAATGATAGCTTTCAGCTGCAGCTTCACATCCTTTCTTTAATGAAAAGCAAGTTAATAGATTTCAGCATTTCATGAAAGGCAGAGAGTTTGGCTGTCTTTTCCTTATGCTTGAAGCATAGGAGACAAGGGGTGAATTTGCGGAAGCTGAGTTGAAGGAGCCCACATACTGGCACTGTTTTCAGATGATAACTCTCCCTTTACCTCCTGAATGGCTTTGACTTTCCAGACCAGCATGCTTGACAAGTGACCAGCTCACTGACAATGATGCTTTTCCTTCTCTGCATGGACATTGCCTGCTGCTGGATGCTAGCTTGCATTGTGAGCTTACCTAAATCTCTTTCTCACTTCTTGAAGATGCAGCCAGCATGTCAGGGTAAGATAACAAAGAAATAGCCCCAGAGGCTTCCAGCACTGCTCTAACCCATACTTCCCCCTATTGTCAAAGTCCAGAGGCCTCCTGTAGCTAAAATGACACCCACTTGAGGGAGTTATCAGCCCACAAGAGGGAACCCCAAAGTTTGCTGGAGTACAGCTTTATTTGGGTGCGGGGCATCTCTATGAGGACTGAGCATGGTCAATAGCCACATAATGCTGACCAGCTCTTGGTTGGAGGGAGAGATGGAATGCAAATAAGGCTGCAGTCCTATCTGGCTGTAGGCCCCATTAAATTCAATAGGTCTTACTTCCACTCAAAGCAGGAAACATGCTTCAGAGCAAATAGAAAAAGCTGGCTGGAGGTGCCAGGGGATAAATGGAGCATATTTATAGATGACCTTGAAGTTCTCGCTTGGATTAGGACAGGTGTCGCATTTTTTTCCAGGACAGAGAGAACATAGAATCAAGTGCAGGAATACCAGAAAAGACAGGTAGGCTATAGGGAGAGTAATAGGTTGGGGACAAATCATGGCTTAGGGTAGAGAGGGGACACACACATGGCTGCACGCCTATCAAAGAAACAAGGCTGAGGAAAACAGACAGAGAGTGAGAGGCAAAACAACTTACACTCAGCAAAACGTGAGCCCAGCTAACCAGCAGCCTCTTCCTGCTTCTTTTTCAGGGGCTGGTGGATGGGGGAGAGGGAAATAGCAGCAAATGCTGTCAGAGCCATCAAATAAAATTACTTCCACCAGGTCTCATTCTACATCCTAAGAAGAGTTGAGTCATCCTTTTGCTCTATTTTGTGTTATACTACTGCTACTCTGTGTACGGTGATGCTTCCTAAAGAGCTGCAGATTGTTGCCATAGGAGGCAGGGATACCTCTTTGACCTCCCAGTCTATGTGCAGATGGAGTCAGTGTGTTTATTGCCTCTTCTGAGCCGCATAACAGAGTGTGCCCCCTCCCCTGCATATCTGGTGTTGGGTAGGACTGCTGACCAATTTGGGGCCAGGGACAGCAGGCTCCTGCACATCTCAGAAATGTAAGGCTTCCCCTAGGGAAGTTTTGCTAGCCTTCTGTGATAATATGTGGCATCTTCTTCGCTTTTCTTGCTCCACTTTGTCCTCCAGAGCCCAAAACAAGGCAGCAATGCCAACTAAGTGTTCCTTAGTGTTCAAACTGTGCCCATCTAGTTCAGCTTAGCTCTGATTAATGTAATGGGAAGGAGGGGTGGCGTCTCTATAACAGCAGAGACCCCCCCCCCCCCATTCTATGCTGCAGATACAATTCAAATCACCCTTGCCTGTGGTTGTGTGTCAGTGAAGGGCTTGGTTCCAAATATTGCAGAGTTAAATGCATGCTTAACTGTCCTGAAGCATGTGAGCAACATCTAAAAATTAGAGAAAACAATGGAGTCCAGCACAGCCAAAATCCCTTCCATGGAATGCGCATCAAAGAACCTTCAGAATGCTTTTAGAAACATAATTTGGGGATTAGGTGGTAGCTGACTATCCTTTGTTATGGAAAGTTTTGCAATGCTACATTTCAAAAGAAGACAGATGAAAACCTCTGCATTATCAATTGCACATAACTTCAGCAAAATGAGGTGGTGTGGTGCTTGTTTATTTACATTTCATGCTATCTTATCTTTATTACTGTTCTTTTACAGTCCTGTCTCTGCTCAAAAGTTCAACAATCTTGAGAACGTCAAACGCTGAGTCCTGAAACGATTGTGCTAAATAATGTAGGACTGTTCACTGTCGCTGAGCAGATTTCTATAATCAGATCCAGGCAATGGTAATGTGACAATCGGAACACATAACTGTGTGTTTCATTGACTTTTCCAGGACTAAAGGAAGGTGGGAACTTACTATGGTGTTTTCCAAGTCACCTGTTGTAACAGAACAACAAATATTAGCCTTTGCCAAATACTTCAGTTATGTACTAAGGCTGATGATGGATATCAGCTGAGTTGAGACTGGTGGGAACAGAACATAAACACTGATATGGCAGTGCAGTTGTGGAAAATAAGCATACAAAGAATGGCTATTAAGATTCTACAAATGATTTCTAAACCTAAATTCAAATACAGTGGTACCTCGGGTTAAGTACTTAATTCATTCTGAAGGTCCGTTCTTAACCTGAAACTGTTCTTAACCTGAAGCACCACTTTAGCTAATGGGGCCTCCTGCTGCTGCTGCGCCGCCGGAGCACGATTTCTGTTCTCATCCTGAAGCAAAGTTCTTAACCCGAGGTACTATTTCTGGGTTAGCGGAGTCTGTAACCTGAAGCAAATGTAACCTGAAGCGTATGTAACCCAAGGTACCACTGTACATAAGATGAATTTGATAACTACAGTACCACAGTGTTGTTGTTCTCACACACTGTATGTGGTTCTTGATTGGGCAGCATAGGATTTCTGACTGTCCACACCATACATTTACAGCACATGGCTTCCCCAAAGAATCCTGGGGGTTCAGGGTGCTGAGAATTGTACCTTTGTGACATAGCTACACTTCCCAGAATTATTTGGTGAGAGCTATGTGCCTTACATGTGCTTTAAAAGTATGGTGTGGCTGTGACCTTCTGCTGTCCCATGTGTTTGTCTAATAGGGCATGCCTACAAGTATGATGCATGGGCAGAATCCAGCCAAATTTAAATCCCCTTGGTGTCCATCAGAGTAAGCATGAAAATATCATAGAAAGAAACCCCAAATGGGAAGACTAAAGGATGTGGCTGGGCCATGGAGTTCTGGCAGTGTGAAGGCAGATGACAGGTGCAAGCCCTCACTTAGGCTAACAGGGTGAAAGGAAGCAAGCAGCCTGCTTGTCCTTATTGGGGGGAGTAAAACAGGGGCCAGGAGTTGCATGCTATAACCATGCAGCCCTGTCCCAATTCTGCCTCCTCCAGGATCCTTTAAGGTATGAGGGGGTCTGTCACCTTCAATCACTCATTTTGGGTAGGTAATGGGATAGTAGTGCTTCCACCCATTCAAAGAAACCTTCCAAAGGACTCTTGGAACTGCAAAGGGTGCAGAGGCCTTCAGAGATTACAGCATCCTGAAGTGGGAAGAAGTTATGATTGGGGATGTACAAATCATTTCTCCCTCCCCATGCTTTACCACTCTGGTTTGGGACTAGGTAAGGAGCTTAGCTCTTCAAATCTGAGTTGTTCAACAGAAAAGTTTCAATACGGTCAGGGCAGAGCTTAATTCTTTCCCAACCCTGAACCTGGGTGGTGTAGCTATGATCTAAGAGAAGAAGGAAATGGATGAAAGGATGAAAGATGAGTGGCACACATCTCCAACTCCAGTCCTCCTCTCCCTGCAATCCTCTAAACTCTTAGGGTTTGTCTGCCCCCTTCTTCACTTTAAAGGGTCCTCTGTGAATGGTTAATGGAGACTGAAGTGGAAAGCACTTTCTCCAGCACAAATTAACCTTCCTCCCACAAGCTGTGACAGAGGAAGCTGTCTTATGCCAAGTCAGACTCTCAGTCCATCTAGCTCAGTATCCAGGGGTCAGCAAACTTTTTCAGCAGGGGGTCAGTCCACTGTCCCTCAGACCTTGTGGGGAGCAGGACTATATTTTGAAGAAAAAATGAACGAATTCCTATGCCCCACAAATAACCCAGAGATGCATTTTAAATAAAAGCACACATTCTACTCATGTAAAAACACGCTGATTCCCGGATCGTCCGCGGGATGGATTTTGAAGACGATTGGGCCAAATCCGACCCCTGGGCCTTAGTTTGCCTACCCATGGTCTACACTGAGTGGCAACAGTTTGAGGCAGGGGTCCTTCCCAGTCCTGCTTTGATTTGCCAAAGGTTGCACCTGGGACCTTTTGACAACAAAGTATATTCTTTTCTACTGAAAGACACCCCTTCTCATGAAAGGGACAGTTCCATATAATTGCTTATAGGATCCTGGAGCAGGGAGTCCCTAGGTTTATGGGATGTGACCCAACCCCAATGTTTCACCCATTCTCACACAGAAATCAGGAAAACAGCAAATCCCCCCAACTTGCGGTGCTGGAGGATTTAAGGCAGGGGTGGCCAATGTGGTACCCTCCAGATTGTTGCTGGACTCCAATGCCCACCTTGACCACGGGCTCTGCTGATTGACGTTAGGGTCAACAACACCTACAGGGCACCAACATTGGCTACCACTGGTTTGATGAATGTTTGCCCCAGCCCCATTCTCAATGATACAGCAAGAGCAGGAATTTCCCCCTTATTTATTCTCCCTTCCTGGCCATTCCTCAGTGTCTCCCATGCTGTAGAAACAAAATAGTAAAGTGCTGCTTGAGTCTGTAGTAACTCATTCATGAGTGTTCCTTCTTTCCAGTAGGTTAGAAACAGAACAGCAGGGCAGCAGCCTTCAAGCACTTGACATTTAATGGGTTCTGTGAGATGGCAAACTTTGATTTTAACTCTTTAATACAGAAACTTGTATCTGGTATATTTCTGTGTTTCATTTCTGCATATAGAGAGACAGACTAAAATACTTTGGGGCAAGAGAGAAAGGAGAAATAATATAAAAACGGCAATATTTTACTTAGGTGGCTTTTTTAAAAAGCCAAAAATGATTTGAAACACACAGTCTCAGGGCAGTATGTAGAATAGTTAATTTCTGTTGTTTTTGGCTCAACACCTCAGCACCGTCTGGTGCTTCAAGGTTTAGCTCTCTCTTTCTTACCAGAGGCTGCCGGCTGTCTGTGTTAGCTAAAGATATCTGGGGCAATAAAAGTGGAAGAAACAGCGCTATCTATAAAATCAGGACAAACAAAAAAGAAGTTTGGAGTCCCTGAGTTTATGATTGCCACATTGACTTGTTTCTTTGCTTGACTGAACAAGTTTAAAAGATCTGCTTTAACCTGTTTTAACCAGGATCAGATACAAAACCTGAACCTTGGACACATTTAGGTCTGTCCAAGCCAAATCTAAAAATGTGTACAGTCCTTGGATGTGTGTCTTGTGTACTTGTTAGAAGTAACGTAATTCTGGGTTGGCCACAGACAATTTGTGGTGCACCTACCTCAATGGTTCTTGAACACTTTTGGGGGTTTTTCTGAATTTTTTTGTCATCAAGAGCCCTTTTACAAATTACTACGGAAATTACTGTTATTAGTTTGATTTCTTACTCCTCCCCACCCCCCTTCACCCCGAGGTCCTGCGAGGGAAGCACATTTTGGACACTGCCACTAGTTAAAGGAACAAGGTTGCTTGGCGTGATTGTACAATTTTGTTAGATTGTGTTGTAAGCTGCCTCAGAGAGCCTTTGACTGAAAAGTGACATGCACAGAATGAAGTGGTCAACTTAGGTGGTAGAATTTTGGACCGTACCTTTTCAGAATTCAGTGGGGTGTACATCTATGTGTCATAAATTTGAGTGCTCTACATAAATGATTTCCTACATGTATTAAATTTCCTACAGCATTAAAACTTCATAATGTGCTGGTTTAGGCAATTTTTAAAGTGCAGGGAGTAGTCAAAAATTTTGCCTCTCACCTGCAACAATCTAAAGTAGTTTAGTCTAGAATTCTTAACCTTAGTATTCTGACGTATTCTGTGTTATGTCTAGGATGGATCTTATTACATTTTCCCCAGATCCATCAGGATGTGCTAAATGTTTGGGATCAACACTTCATGCACACAAATTTTCAGTTACATAGATATATCATATCTCAGACAAAACAATATCTATGTAGTTAAAGAATTCAGGCCAATGACTACTGTTTCTTTCTCTAGGCCTTGCATGATCTTCAGCATACAAATGGATGCCTGGTCATAGCATTTTTATTTACAGTTTTTTAAAAAAAAAACTTACAAATTAACATTGTTTAGTGAGCTTTTCTCACTTTTGAAGGTATATCAGAAATCACAAAATGCTATTGGACAAACCTAGCAAAATCAAAAGCTCTATACCCCACTATTTGCAATGGGAGAAATGTACTTAATTCTGCCATATAAATGAACGGGAATTGAAAGTAAGCTGTGCACTAAGATGTTTATCTAGTTGCGAACTAAGGCATTTATTTATTATGGTATTGTTTAATGTTCATTCCTCTGTTTAAGATTGATGGCTTAAAACATGAATAGTAGAGATATTGAAAGTAAAGGCATCATGATTTGAACAGCAAAAGGGCACAATTTATATCAATAAATCAAAGAGAAAAAGGTTAACCCGTTGAAGTTAAAAATAGCATACATCTTCCCGTTTCGCATTAAACATCTAGATCTGTTGTTTTCTGGAATTAGCACAATGTGGAAAATATTAATTTCGCTATAAATCTGTTTTAAGGCGTACGTTCTAAAAGGGGATATATGACTAAGTTGCCGCAAATTAATGGTGGGCTTTGCAATTCTATCTCACTTTTCATACGCTTGGAAATAAGACGGTCGTATTCTTCATGCAAGTGTTGTTTATTTTATGCCTCCTTATAATTAGTACAAAAACTCTTGTGGAATACCTTCTTACGCACATAGTTAATAGAGACTTTAAAGAGTTCTGATCGAGTTAAGAAATACAGCAATTAAAGATGATTTTTTTAAAAACCAAAAGGAAAAGTGAACAGAAAAACAACACCAGGGTCTTTGAGCAGAATAAGCATTTGGAAACTCTTTTTAAAAAACAAAACAAAAACCCAATGGCCCAAGAAAAGGACTGGCAAAGTAAAGTTGAGGGATTTATCACCGTCACCACCCTGTAGCATCTCAGATCATCAGGATAACCCATCAAGACTACATACCTTTATTTTTCTTTCCCCAGACAGAATTTCATCAGCACTCAGCAAGCTTGGCTTCCCAGATAGTTTGAGTAACTTTAAAAGGGATTTTTAAAAAAAGAAATAATCAGGACAAGTCTTAATCATCAGCTTTGCATTTCTGTGCAATGTTGTTCAGCTATTGCTAAGGAACTATGCATTCCTCCTTATAATTTCCTCTTACCTGTAAAAGAGCAAAGTTCAGATTCCTTTCTTGAAGTTACTCTCATGTCAAGCTGGATGGCCCTTCCTTGAAGGAGTGTGTCCCTCAGGTAATGTATCTGTGCGTGCTTTTGAAAGCCCTCCTTCCCCTCCACACTCCCACCCAACGTCCCCTCGTACTTGCTGTCAGTCAAAAACAAGTTAGAAAGAGCCTTTTCTGAGTTGGAATTACCTGAATGAGGAAGCCAGAGGGAGGGAAGGAATCTGAGAGGAGACTTTGTGATTTCAGCAGCATGTCTTAAGGAAACCTACAGCGAAGACCAGGAAACCGTATAATTCTAATGAATTCAACACCCTGTCAGGAGCTGAGCAAATACCTGATTGAAAAGAAACTGATGTACTTTCAGAGGATGTCAGTTAATCTTTGAAGAAACTTGATCAAAGTCCCTTCATGACCTTATTGCCCAAATAAACAAGTGTAAAAAGCTTTGAATAAATCTTGATATTATCCTTTTTAAAAAGAGAAAGAGAAATGGCTGAATATTCCTTCCTTTTAGGGAAATGGCAGGTTGATTGTGAGGCAAATACACAGCAGGTCTAGCTTAATGTGCAGGTCTGGTAATAACCATGGACAGAGTCGATAGCCCAGAATATCGATGGTTCCCAGCTGATTGCTGGCACCGCTGTTTCTTTTTGATCTCTTGTGTGTGGCATTTCCTTTGTTATTTACAAGACATGAGAATTAAACATTGGGAAACACTGAGTGTTGAGAAAGAGAGCTATATTTTGCCACTCTTAATGGTTCCAGGATGTCTTGGACATTATGGTTTTTGATGTGATTTCCAGAAGTAAATCAGTAAAATGTAGAGCGAAATAGGAGACATTCGCCTTTCAGAAGACTCAGTCTGCTAGCCCTGGAATATTGTTCTCTGATATACACATTACCTTTCACTTTTTAAAAAAAACCCACTTGTTTACAAAAACAATTACAATTGATTTGTGGCCCTAAAAAGGGTCCCCAAAGCAGCTTTAAGAAAAACACAATCATAACCAATTCAAATACAATAAATCCGGGAGCAGAATAAAGAAAGCACTAACATAGCCACCAATAGGAGAACAACAACAACAACAACTATATTCAGATTAAAAGCTAGTCTCAACAGTATGCCAAAATAGTAGGAGTATGTAAAAGCCCCAGATGAAGCACTAACCTAAAGTGAACTGCCCTACTTTGGAGCTATTCAGGCTATTCAGAATACAAGGCAATTTGGATCTGAGGTGAAATAGGCTGGTCCCAAAGTTCTAGATTTGCTTCAGAGATTTGGAAGGGTATTTTAATTTTTAACTTTTCCTGATATGTTTGATACATTTCTGAACCTCCTTCAAGCACTCCGAACCTGAAGAAGCAACTCCCCCAGTATCAACCATCTCGGGTCCTAAGATCAGCTGGGCTGCCGCCTGATTGGTAATGGCCTGCGGCAGGGCCTTCTTGGTGGTGGCTCTCCATTTGTGGAATACTCTCCCTGGTGAGGTGCTTCTGGCTCCCTCACTGACAGTCAGAAGAAATTCTACTGGACTTGCCCCACCCCAGCCAGCAGTCGCTGCAGCTTTTAATAAGTGAATGTAGGGAAATGGTTAACACAGAGTTTGTTGCAACATATCCACTAGACATCCACTATTGCTCCTTCCAATTCCCCAATTTTTAAAAAAGTAAATAATTAAACAAAAAAGAGTCGGACATGACTAAACGACTAAACAACAACAACAACAACAACAACAACAACAACAGAAATGTATTATAGAGAATCACTGTTGCTTGTTCACTCTCCCCCTCTCTAGGAAGGTCACAAAACAAATACTAAGCCTAGACGCAAACACAAAGTTCCTCAAAGTAAGAAATGCTCCCTGTTGCTGCCCTGGCCTTCAGGGAAACAACTCTGAGCAGGCTTAGAACCAATGTATGATTCTGTTAGGCTAATGCTACTACATAGGGCTGCTTTTGAAGTAGTCCTGACTCCTCTCATATCTGCTATAGTGGCTGTGCAGGGCAGGCCTCATAACAACAAATGGAGTAAAAGCATTCCTACCAGGACTGACTATCCAGCAGCCCAGTCAGTCACATGGCTTTTCTGCTTAGAGACACATGGGAAGAACCTCTTTCCAAGCTACAAAGGCATGAGCGAAGAGCAAATGAAAAACACAATCAACCAGTGACATAGCATGGGTTGCCAGTGCCCAGGGCCACATGGAGGGGGTGGGTGAGAGGCAAAAGAAGTACACATGCACATTCAACTGCCTAACAGTGTCCATGTCACCCAGGAGATTGCAAGCCCAGACATAAGAGAAGAAGAGTCATTCTGTTGTCTGGAGAGGTCACTTTCTGTTCACATGGAGAAGCCATTTTCAGTGGAGCCCAGTGATGGAAGTGCACTGCTGTATTAAGGCAGCACTGGGTGTTGAATTTTTTATGCCCCTAACAATTTTGGGCCCAGGACAACCGCCCCTGTGCCCCCCACAACCACGCTACGCCAATAAAATGAACTTTTGAGAAACAAAGCATGGTTTGTGCAATCATCTGTGGTAGTTATTTGAATGGCTAAATTTACTGCTCTGTTCTATAGTATCGGTGGACTGTCTGCAGACTTAAGCAGGCACCCGGATAAAGAATTATCATGTTATCAATGCATAGATAGCCAGAGACCTTTGCTTTAAATTACCAGCGTGAACAATAAACTTTTATCTAGGGATGGTTCCTGGAGGCCCATAAAATGGCCTCTGACCCTGCTTCTGTTTTCATTAGAACATTAGCCAGGGCAGAGGGACAGGCTGGGGCTGGGCATCATTCCTTCTAGTAGCAAATGCAGGTGGTTGCGTGTCCATCAGTCTGGAAGCCAAATAAGGCAACTCCTAAATAAGGGAGCAAGTTTCAACATACCTGGAGGGCTCCCTAGATATATTGGTAAATTAAAAGAAATGAGAACTTTAAAAAAATAAAACCCCAAAGGCCTAACAAGTACTTGTGAGGGCCTAGACTTCCAAGAATGTTGATAGCAGTTGCGCCTAGAGGGTGTAAAGGAAGTTGGGCAGGCTGTATGAGGGCTCCTCCAGAAGACTGGTTTTTTTCCCCATTCTTTTTTTCCCCCAGTTATCAATGCAGAAGAACATTCTTCTTTCGCCTCCTAGTACAATTAGCAGTCAATCCAAGCTGCAATGCATTCCAAATGCAAATCTTGAGGAATTTTCCAACACAAGGTGACCTTTATCATTGCAATGCCATAGGAAGTCAGGGGGAGTTAGAGAGAAAGTATGGTGCAGTTGTAAGCACGTCAGACCAGGGCTATTCATGAAACTCGCTAGATGACCTTAAGTCAGGTCAGGCCCATCACTTACTCTATTCCACTCTTTGTTGGACCACAACTCCCATCATCCCTGACCATTGGCTAAACTGGCTGGGGATTATGGAAGTTGTAGCCCAACAACACTGGGGACTCAAAATTGAAGAGTGCTGCTTAGTCTACCTCACAGGGCTGTTCTGCGAACAAAATGAGGAAACCATGCATGCTGGTCTAAGCTCACTAGAGAAAAGGTGGAGTTAAAATGTGTGTGTAACATATGCACCTTCAAATTGCCTCTGAGTCCATCAGTTTCTCAGCAAGCCAGATCTCTTTGCTAAAAATGGAATGAGGCTTTCCAGCTAGCTGAGTATTTAACCTTTCAAACTTTTACGGCCTGTGAAAAATGGAGTTCTCAGTTAGTGATTCTGGAAGGAAATATCGCTGCATGGTGGTCTAAAGGACTGTCATCTGACTCTTCTCAGAGACTGCAAGATTCAGGGCAAGTTTTGTTGAACTATTGGACTTGTGTAAATACTTGGACGATAGTGTCAAGAATCAAGAAAATCACTGAGACTACCAAAAGTTAAAGTTACACTAACACAGGGACAGGGAACTTCCATCCTCCAAGCCTTTTCATCTGGTCCTCAGGGCACTAGCCAGGTCTCACCCCTAACCTACCCTGCTCCACACCCTCTGTGGGTGGCTTTTGCCCAGCTACAATATGTCATTAAACTGTTATAATACCCCTTGGTCCCTGGGTGGTGGATAGAGAAATGGGTGTGTAGAACCCACTGGTTTTTTGTGTGGCTGGAATGTGGTCTACAATATAAAGGTAAGAGTCGCATCCATTGATTCACTCATTTTTGCCTATGACATGCACATATTTTTTCTGGTCTCCACCAACCACCGGTATGCAGCCCCCATGTGCAAATGTAACCCTCAGAACTTCACCCTAACATTAAGGAAAAATTGCTTTGAAAGTGGCACAGTAACCCCAAATGACTGGTAGGCACATGTCTTCTGATTGCCACTTGCAAAAAGGATGTGGGGGTATCTGTTGTCTTTGCTCAAGCTGGTGCAGGCTTCCTGGAGTGCTGTTCCTGGGGTATTAAAGCTGTTGCTATGAGAAGACCCAACATTTTCCCAGCTCCTTTCCAACCCCATCCTCAGTCGAAACCACAGGCTTGATGAACTTGCATAGTGATGACTCTCCCTTGCTACATACTTGCTACCTTCTTTAAAATCTATGGAAAAATGCTGGCCAGGGGGGATAAACCTATGTGGGTGTGGGTGCGTAAATACTTCAAACCATTATGACAAGTATGAGGAAATGGCAATGAATTATAATATCATCCAGCTTTTATATACAGTATCTGAAGAAATCTGTAATGGTAGAAAGAAGTATGAAAAGGTTAACGTGATCAGATTGTGATCAAGGGGATGAAAGGGACATCCTTTTAATCAAGGTGAGACAGAATTACCTCTACAATTTTAGGTACCAAGTGTATCCAGGGCAGTGAGCTGCTCAGTTGTTTCCATCATAGCCCCTTGTTTTCACATGTTCCAAAACACAGGAAAATGTTGACCTTTCCAGTTACATATTTTATGTGTTTAAAGCTTAAAGTTAAGGCTACAACATGTCTCTTCAAACCCTTTTCATGGACACAGGCTTTTGATTCAGGTTATTTTTACACTTACTTTCTCACCCATCCTTCACAGAATGTGAGGACTAAATATAAGGGGAAGTGAGCTCTCCACCACCATACACCCACAACCACACACACATAATATAAAGGCCCACAAATATGGAAATCATGATTTTCAAAGGTTGTAGGATGTGAAAAGGTTTGTCTTTAAAAATTACATATTTCCATTGATTATCCATTAATCACCATCATTATTACACAGATACTGGCAAATTACCTGTCAGTATGATGGACTGAATGTTCCTTCACACACAAAAGGTCTGGCTTTGATTTATTTCTCTAGAAGAAAGTGGAGAGGTTGATGTAGCTGCTGAAAGACCACAATTGTGGTCTGAAAGAAATCTCTTCCTGCCCAACTTCAAGAATTTTACAACCTTCTCCCTGGAGGTCACAGGAACAACTGACTTGGATGGAGGTGGGGAGTAGAGATAATGGATAAGGACTATGATGAAGACCTGAAGAGGAACATTGAGTCCTAACGCCTTGCAACTTTCATTGTGCTAAACATAAGTGGTGTGTCTACAGACACTGTAGGAGATGAAGCACACCACTGTGGAAGTCTAGCATAATCAAAGGACACAACAGCAGAATGGAATTCATATACAATGAGTAAAATGGCTCTCCTTAGGATGGGTGGCAAATGTGTGTGTCTCTATGCCATGTGTCACAACAGAGACCCACTGCAGCCTTCCTGTTGACCATCCAACGTCAGGAGTGAAAGGCAGATTTTCTCCTCACTACTTACTCTGACATTACTGCTTCCATATAACACCTTTGATTATCAACTACTATGGCAACAAATCAACAAAACTTGGACAACTCTTTCATTATACTAAAGGGCCATTCTTCCAACAAAAGAGAATATTCAAAGCTACCTACTTAAAACAAAAACAAAAAAACTTGCTATCTAGTTAACAAAAGACTATCTTCTTAACAAATGAAACTGAATATTGGATGTAACTTCTTACATAAGGTCTCAATGTAACTGTAAAGCCTACCTTCACATATGAAATGGTACAAAGGGATAAGGAATTTGAGCTACATGTTGAACAGTAAAATATGGATCCACACATCCATATTTATTATGGTTCTTAATCTTTAAGCTAGACTCTGGCTCTTTCTGCGCTAAACCTTTAAAGCAGCATCATACCACTATTTAGTCATGATTTCCTCCAAAGAAGTCTGGGGACTATAGTTTTTTAAAGGTGCTGGAAGTTGTTAGGAGACCCCTATTCCCCTCACAGAGCTACAACTGCAGAGCAGTTTCATTCCTTTTTCCCAGGGCACTCTAGGAATTGTAACAGAGTGAGTGCAGATGTGCCTTAGACAAGACATCAAATAGAAGACTTCTTCAAATAGACAATTATTCTCTAAATAGACCTTCAAACAGAGGGTTGTCTTCTGTACACTGAAACACAGGCGATATAGATTATGTTATCTTGGACAACCATCTCAGAGAATCCAAAAATATTGACATACTATCAACAGACATTGACCCGCACAACACCTACAAAGCCAATGGTAGGATGGGGCTGGAGATCCTTCAAAGAAGTGCAACTCTGCAAAGTTACAAGAAGAAAGAACAAAAATGGACTGAAGGGGAACTTAATAAGCACAAGTAACCTCAACAACTCATCACAATAGCCGGTCAAATCCATATAAAATGAAAAATATTGTGGGTTTTGTTTTCTGAGTATATTCAATTTTACCCCTTGATCCATTTTATAACGTGTTGTTTTAATGCTAAAACATACAAAATATATAACTTTTCTATAAATTGTCAATAAAAAAGAAAGAAAAATGGTTAATGGAACAAGCGATCAAAATAGCAATGACAGCAAAAATGTTTCAAAAATAAGTTCTGATGTGATGAGAGCACTGAGAGTGCAAAATGTGTATTTGGGGCTTTATAAAGCTCTAGGCAAGTGACTCGGCAGGAAACACCAGCACAGTGGGAGGGCACAGTTTTTGCTGAGTTAATCAATTATAAAGCAGCAGACATTAAAATGTACAGAGCATGGATCCCACAACTGTTGTGGAACAATAGCGAAGCCCCCATTCTACCGGCCAAAAAACTGTACATACCTCTAAGATGCAAGAAATCTCTCACATTTCCCACAGATAACAGCAAAACTTTCCAGAAGAACATGGCTATTAATCTATGACAAAAATACTGGTAACACCAAAAGTCCCATTTTCTGAAGAGAAGATTGCAGCGAAGATGTCTGATTCTGTTTGCAACAATGATTAGACAAGAAACAGAAACGTGTGCCAATATTTTAATGCGCAACTTGAGAATAATTGTTAGACCCGTATCTTAACTGTTGCTTGTTGTTGTGAACATAGTTCTTGGTGGAAAATGCAGTGAAAATCATGGCATTATCTCCCAGCAGCTCTCACAATATTGTAGGCTTGGTTCCCCCCGCCCTGGTGCAGTCATAGGCCAGCTGGAAGCAGATTGAGATGTGGGACTGATAAAGAAACTCTTCATCGTCTTAGGTTCCAGCATTACTGAACACCCCCGAGTACATACTTTATCAGGGTGTTCAATGGCAATAAAAGAAAGAATGTTAAAGACCCACAGATTGTCTTAAGGAAATTTGCAGGAGGAAATGTCAGGGTTCCAATGGGCTCATAGTCCAAGCAGCATATATGGTGTCAATGTTTCATGGTCAAGATTCAACACAAGCAACTGAAGCAGCCCTACTATACACATTCTTATTGGCAAATTAGTTTTTGCTCAGCGGATATGGGAGAACGTGTTTATGAAGGTGTAAGGTGAGTGAGAGAATAAAAAGAGCATCGTGCTCATTGTTCAAATCATGGATGTCATGGCTGAACCTCAAAATCCTTCTGTTCATCTTTTCACTCAGAAGAGGTGCAAGTCCATTTCAAAACAGGTCGTCCCATGCTGTTGTTTCTCTTTGACCATCATCGCAGCACGTTCTGACCACTAGCAGTGAGTCTGAAGCAGGAATAGGGAACCTGTGACTGACCAGATATTATTGGACTCCAACTCCCATCAGCCCCAGCCAGCATGGCCTATGGTCAGGTTGATGAGAGCTGTAGTCCAGCAACATCAGGAGGGCCACAGGTTCCTGATCTCTGTTCTAAAGGACCCACAAGAAACAGAAACTGAATTTCCAGGTATCCATAGTGTCTTCAACTGTGGTCAGTTTATTTCTCGTAAAAAAATGCCTGTTCTCAAGAATCCGTGAATCAACTAATGTCCAAGTCAATGGTGGTGTTGGGACAATGTGGCTGCCACATGGATCGTGTTTGGAATTGCTGAAACAGATAAATGTATGTCTGCACATGCTATTGCCAAAGTCATATGAAAGGGCAACAAATGGGGTGATCTGAAGACAATCCTGGCTGCTGCTACATTATCTTTGTACTTGATGGAGACTGAATAACAACAAAGCTTTAGGGAGCACTCCCTGTGCCAACTCCATAGTCAAGATGCCACTCATGATTATTGGTCCAGATTATTATTATTTTATTTGTCCAATAAAATTTTAATGGCATAATATTTCAAGAAGCTTGTGTATATGTTTGTTCAATCACGCAGTGTGGCAAATCCATGTTTACCTAATAGACTGCAGTGATTTAATAAAAACTCCCGCAAACAATCCGGTAAATAATATATTTTTTTGTTATTATCAACACAGGTGCCAAAAATAATGAACTTCATTTATCCGTTTTGGCCAGATTGTTAGGAAACAATTATGTGGGGCTTTTAAAAAAATACATTAAAATTTGGATCATATTCAATGGTATCAAGACTCATCTCCATTACAGAGGGCAGGGGAGAACCAGTTGTGAAGTTACATCCAAAAGGCTGTTTTTAATTAACCAGCACTTCACCTTTGAATACCCTTGCTGTGTCAAGATATTACTGCAAATATTGTTTCTGAGATCAGTTACTTATCTCAAACTGCAGCAAAGACTGACAACAAGGTGCTGGATTTTAATGCTAGAGAAAGTTCCTGTTGTCTTCGTACTGTGCTTCTCCTTCCAAAGTCCTCACAAATACTTTTCATGCTGAATTTCTGCTGCTTTGGACCAAGTTGAATTTTGCAATTTGTATTTTCCCTTGAAAATGGCAGTTGCAGCAGCAAGTCATTAAAAATGAAAAACACCATTTTGAAACCCCTTTGCTCAGCATTTTGCCTATTGAATCCATATCTTAATGATAGACGCTTCAAGAGAAAAGATTGATAGACATGTCTGAGCAGATGTTTGATGATGTGTTAAGCCCTTTGGGAGGGGGGTGTCTAGTAAAACAAATAAGAGAAAATGGAGCATTATACTGATGTGGATACAATCAGTTTCTGCACAAGTGTAAGAATTCTGATACGTTGGATAAAATACGGCTTGTGAGCATGTTTATAAACTCCAATCTCGAGCCTTATTTCAGTTTCTTTTAAATGGAATCTCAGACTTTACTGTACTTTACAATATTTTATCATACATTACAATGGCTACTAATCATGATGACTACAATGTACCTCCACTGCTGGAAGCAGTTTGCTTCTGAATACTAGTTGCTGGAAATTGCAGGAGAGGAGACTGCTCTTGTGTTCAGGGCCTACTTGGGAGTTTCTGATTGGCTACCATGAGAACATGATGCTGGACTAGATGGGCCATTGGTCTGATCCAGTATGCTTTTCATATGTTCCTAAGTACTTAAAATAGTCTATAAAGATTTATCCCGCCTTGAAAGTGAATGTGCTAGACCAGAGATGGTGGTACTTTTACATGCAAAGTTTTGGAAGGAACTATTGGGAAGCAAAACACTGAAGCCTCCAAGTGACACAATCTGCTCTTCATATTTACAGGACAACTCAACTCAAAATAAGTGTGCTTCAAAAATATTTTTAAATGAATAGGAAGTTTGCTTAAAAGAAGCTTTTCATTACTGATTAGGAGTGGGGGTTTTTGTGTTTAATCCTGCTCCCAGATAAGTCAAATTTAATTCGGTAAAGCTTCATTTAATTCCTAGGAAGTGTTGATATTGGGGCTTAAAAAGTGCAGTGCTTAACCAATAGTAAGTTAATTATTACCTAATTTGTGCTAATTATGAAAGATAAAGCCTCTGGATGGACAAGTACTTTATCTTGCTTTCAAGACTGGTTGCATAAACTCCAACCTTCAGATGGCTTTTAAAACTTTATAGCTACTATTTTGGCTGATAGCCACTTCCAACATTTTGCATTTCCTAGTCAGAAACCTTCAAGCATGGGGCGGGGGGAGGGAGGATGCCAAGTGCATGCAAACTGCCGCAAGTGACCATCACTGCCACACCTGCTTAGTTGCATGGACATGTATTGAGAGAAGCTAAGTATGATTGAGTCTTTCCCACGTATAGGGCCAGCCCACTGAGGTGAACAGGAATCCCGCATGGGTGCCCCACCACCACTGGAGAAGTGAGAAGAAGCAGCAGTGGCAGCTTCAGAAGAGATCCCATGGAAGCAGTGGCTTTGCAGCGGAAGGAGATGGCACTGTGGCCCATCCCTGCCCACATATATGGACCAATGCTCTAAAACAGAAGTAGGTGATAGCATCATTTGACATTTTATATAAGCACTGCATTGTATGTTTTTTGCCCTCAGGGAATCATAGAATCAGAGCATTGTAGAATTGGGAGGGATAGTCCAATAAGCAGTTGTCCCATACGGGGATCAAACCTGCAAACTTGGCATTATCAGCACCCTGTTCTAACCAACTAAGCTATCCGGGCGTGCTATATAAAGTGCTATTTGTGTAAGAAACTAAACAGTAAACAACTAGGGGAGTTGTTAGGAGGTGGCCCAGGGGGCATGAGACATGGGTTGTTTGCACTGGGCCTTAGGTCCCCTGTCCTTTCTCTCCCTTTTTAGACCATTTAAACTTTATTTTGCTGGCTGGGGACGGTGGGAATTGTAGTCCAAAACATCTGTAAGGCACAAGGTGGACAAAGGCTGTTACAGGAGCAAGAACCTTGTACAACTTGGGCCCCATGTCCCAAGGAAGCCTGACCTGCAGAATTTTTTGTTATGGGGTTGGTGTCTTCACTTTCCCCCTCTTTCTTTCTTTCTTTCTTTGCAAAATCTGCTTCTTCTTCTTCTTTTTAAAGGAAGCCTTGGTACATTGAGACTATGCACATGTGAAGTATGCAATGATTAAAAATTAGGAACATAAGAAGGTGTCTTATACAGAGTCTATCTAGCTCAGTACTGTCTACACAGACTGGCAGCAGCTCTCCAGGGCTTCAGGCAAGCTTCTCTCTCATCACTACCTGAAGGCGCCACAGATTGAACCTGGGACCTTCTGCATGTAAGGCAAATGCTCCTAGTACTGAGCTACAGCCTTTCCCCACTGTGTCACTAATCTATTGCAATTCACATCACAAACCCGCCCCAGGTCCTTGGGCTAAGAGGAAGATTCCATTTCTCTCCTTGCACCCTGCCAATTTTGGTTGTTCTGGTATAACAATTGTTTGTCCTGCAGTACTGCAGATCAGGATGCATGGGAAAAGATGGTTCTAATCATCACTTTTCACAGTAGAATTAGTTGCTCTGCCACAAGATGAATGGGTAGAGTTCTTTGGCTGCAGTCTTATGCTCACATAGACACTGAACACAGTGGAATGTAGTGCTGAATAAATGTACATAGACTCAGACTGCGTGTTTCACCTTTGTTTGAGAAAACACTGGCACCCTTCACATGCTTTAAGGGGCTGTACGCAATTACTGTGGAGCAGGACGTCAATGCTGTGCTTGCCCCAGCATCACCCTTGTCACTGGATTGAACTCTGTGACGTACAACTATGTGTACTCACTTGCCCGTTCATAGGCACCTCTTTGAAGGCATCCATGCTCGGTGCATGGACATGGAGGGGGCAGGACCAGGTGTGCACGAGATGCTGAGGGTGGGTCCCGTGACATGGCTCCACCGCCCCCCCCAGTAATCATTCCCATGCATATAGTGTGTGAACAGGGAAATCATTTCAACTATGTTTTTGCTCTGGGCAGTGGCGTAGCGTGGGTTGTCAGCACCCGGGGCAAGGCAAGTAATTTGCGCCCCCTAACCCGTGGATTTGCGCCCCCTAACCCTATCCCCCAGAAGTTGCGCCCGGTGCGGCCGGCCCCCCCTGGACCCCCCACGCTACGCCACTGGCTCTGGGTCCTCCCCTATTTCTCCTAGATTTCTGATGCTAATTTGTTTTGGTTCTGAAGGTCAACTGTCTTTCCTAAGAAGGATAGCAAATAATATTTCTTTCTTGGTGCCATGCCAAGAGGCATTTTTATGAGCATGTTGTTGTTTAGTTGTTTAGTCGTGTCCGACTCTTCGTGGCCCCATGGACCAGAGCACGCCAGGCACTCCTGTCTTCCACTGCCTCCAGCAGTTTGGTCAAACTCATGTTAGTAGCTTCGAGAACACTGTCCTTGTGCCCTCAATCTTTCCCAACATCAGGGTCTTTTCCAGGGAGTCTTCTCTTCTCATGAGGTGGCCAAAGTACTGGAGCCTCAGCTTCAGGATCTGTCCTTCCAGTGAGCACTCAGGGCTGATTTCCTTCAGAATGGATAGGTTTGATCTTCTTGCAGTCCATGGGACTCTCAAGAGTCTCCTCCAACACCATAATTCAAAAGCATCAATTCTTCGGCGATCAGCCTTCGTTATGGTCCAGCTCTCACTTCCATACATCACTACTGGGAAAACCATAGCTTTAACTATACGGACCTTTGTCGGCAAGATGATGTCTCTGCTTTTTGAGGTGCTGTCTAGGTTTGTCATCACTTTTCTCCCAAGAAGCAGGCGTCTTTTAATTTCATGACTGCTGTCACCATCTGAGCATCGCTGCAGGTAATAAACAAGAATTAGCTTATTATGCTTAATCCTAACTAGTGCTTTTGCACTGTGCTCACCACCAAATTGCAGCTGTTTTGCTGGAGATTTATAGGGCATATGAATGGACACAAAAATGATGAATACCACTAAACACAGAAGACTGCATCTCAAGCCAGGAGCTTGTTTTCTCTAGGTAATGACCTATAACAGATCGATACATTCCTGGCACTATATAAACACTCTATCTTGTGCATTTCAGAATCCTCAAGATTTATTCTAATCTAGTATATTTTCATGTCTACCTTAAATTGCTTCTTAAGCCCTGGATGAATTAAAACTCAAATGTTCACTTATGCTCAGTATCCTTTGCACTGATGCATCCTGCTACAGTGGTACCTCGAGTTACAAACGCCTCAGGTTACAAACGCTTCAGGTTACAAACTTTCCTAACCTGGAAGAGTTACCTCAAGTTGAGAACTTTGCCCCAGGATGAGAATGGAAATCGTGTGCTGGTGGCGCAGCGGCAGCAAGAGGCCCCATTAGTGAAAGCACGCCTCTAGTTAAGAACAGTTTCAGGTTAAGAACGGACCTCCGGAACGAATTAAGTTCGTAACTAGAGGTACCACTGTATTTTGACTCACTCATGTGTTGGATTCACTTCCCTTGCCATCATTGTTTAAAAGTTCCTTTATTTTCCATCAATCCCAGTCTACAAATAAGGACTACAACAGAGCCAATGCAGTGTAATGCCTAGAGCAAGGTCAGTATCTGGAGGAAAAGTAACCACATTTGCTACTCCTAGAATAGTGTAAGGTTAGGAGCAGGGGAAGCCAGATTCAAATGCCCCACTCTGCCATGGGGCACTCATGCCACTCTCTCTCCTAACCTACCTCACAGGGTTGTTGTGAGAATGAGATGTGGAGAAGAACCTTAGACGCTGCCCTGAGATCCTTGGTGAATTTATTTTTAATACTGTTTTTAATGCTGTAACCTACCCTGATACCCTAGGCTGAAGGGCAGATAATAAATAAATATACATTTTAAAAGAGAAAGTGGGTACGACTATAATTAATAGCAGCAACTCATCCCATTTCTTAGGTGCAGAACTCATGATCTTCAGGCAATTTCATTTAAAGCCTCTGTACTAGCAGGTCTGAAACATGTTTCTACGTGCTGCTTCTTAGAGTTGAGAGGAGTAATACCATTTAGCATTTACACGGAACTTTAGAGCCCATATGAAATTACTTTATAGTGAGTCAGAACATTTGTCCACATAGGCTGCTCTTATCTTGCAGACCATTTCCAAGTCTTAACTGGAGATGCCAGGGACCGAACTTGAGATCTCATATATTTAAGACATGCACTCTAGCATTGGCCTGTGGACTTTCTCTGTTGCTCTTACTTACAGCAAAGTGTGCCAGTATTGCTGTTAGCTATGTGATGGGTGTGACGTGGGTGAGGCTGAGAAGTGAGGCACTGGAGGCCACCAGCATCTCAAAGGAGGCTTCTTCTCATAAAGAGCAGCAAAGTGGATATAATGGCAAGGTTAATCCAATATTTATTTGTGCAAATAAACAGGATTCATCTAGTTTTTTTTATTTCTGCAGACAAACACATGTTTAGGACTTAATGTAGTTTTCACTTTCGAACAAACTTCATATTCCATAAAACATGTAAGGAAGCTGCAACTGTCCAGCTCAGTTCTAAGGTAACCCTTAGTGCTAAGCAAAATGCCCAGTTCTGCTTTCTTATAGAAATGACACTGGACTGACTATGCCTGCTATATTCATTCCACAGACCAACCAGCTTCCCCCCTTCTTTGTTCTGAGATCACAGGTTTATGTAATTTATGAAATCTAAGACTGAGCAATGCACTTGTCCAAGGGAGAGGATGTAAAATCCCATCCCACTGTGGATAGTGCCTGCTGTTCCATTGATTTTCATAAGGGTTGTTTATTCATAAGCTCTGTGTTTAAAGAAGACTGTGGTGCATGAATGAATGAATGTCACTGGATGTTCCTGTCTTGAATATTCACAGGGAAGTTTATGGAAAGCAATACTTTTGATCACATCACACCACCTTTTGATGATCCCATGATGGGCACGTGTTGAAGAATTCAGAGAAATGTGAAGCCCCCTACAATTTCAGCATGGAAAGCTCACTCAATCAAAGTGTTCACCAGCGAAATGGATCAAGGTCGCTAACCTTCCCTACAGCTAAAAAACAAAGTAGGAATAGTTGTGTCTTTGTGTGGAGAGGACTTCATCTATTTTTCCTTTCTGTACCTATGCCATCTCTTTTCAGGACGATCCTACAACAACTTTGGAAATGTTCCTTCAGCTCTACAGTTTACCATTTAACACTTCACAATTTCTTCCCATACTCTTTTTATACAACATGATTCTATGATAACAATTCCCTCCTTTCCATCACCCATTTTGGTCCTCTGCTTTACCTCTTTTATAGAAGTGGCTTTATTTCTGCCATTCTGTCATTTAGTTGAGTGACAAATTTTGCCGGAAACAAATAGCAATAGTGAGTTGAAAAAGCAGAAGGTTGTCCTGGCTCCCACCCAGACTATGACAACAGAGGCTTTTACTTGAGAGTAAGGAAGATAGCTATCTTAATGGAGGCAGTGAAGAGATACAGGCTCAATAACAGATAAGAGTCACAACTGCTGCTATGCTCAGGCTGGATTCCAGAAAAGGTGAAACTAGCCAGTCAAGAAGTAGCAGCTCAAGTCCAAGAAGTCCAAGGTCAGGGCAAGGAGCTCAGAGCTGCACAGAAGCATCTGAGTTGTCCCAATGGATGGGCACACCAAGTTTCTCCATCTACTCATCACCAGAGCGCCACCTGCTTTTGACAGCCCCAGGTACCTCCAAGTGGACCCAATCCAACCAGGGGCAATTCAGGGCTGCCTCAACTCAATCCAGCTGAATCCCATGTCAATATGAATCAGTCCAATTCAGTTTGGGGTCTGGGATCTGTTTAGCAATCCTATAAACCAATAATGAAGCCATAACACTGCCAAATGAGCATGGTCAAACATTAAGGGACAACAGTGGAGGAAATTTCTCCCACACAGACATCTCTCAGCCCAACAACAAGAGAGAGGTAGAAGCAGGATTACTAGACCGTAAGTGGACAGAACATTCCCATCAGCTTCCACAGGATGCAAAGCTTACATTGGCTTCAATAAAGGACCTGCATCCTTCTGTTTGAGAGTACATTAGACACTTGAGGATACATTTTACAATGTTACAATAATTACCCCAAGTCAATTATTGTCGTTTTTAACCATAGCAATTTGTCAATCCAGCCAGAAAAAATATTCTGATGTTTCAGTTACACTCTTATCAGTACTCAAGCGAAAGTTAAATGTTAATTTCCTTTTACTGCTGTTTTCTCTCCCATAAAGCCAACAAAGTCTCATGATTACATTATTTGAGTAGAAAGCAAAGCAGGTGCTGATAGGAGTAAGGAATGGCATTTCTTCAAACCATAAATCTCCTAGCAATTGTTCACTACAGGCTTGGATGTTAGTTAATTTTCTTAAGCGCTATAGTAAATGAACTTTGTTCCCCTGCAAGGCTGAACTTTTTCTATAGCTTAGCTACTCAGCAGAACTACTGGGAAGTAGCCCATTACCGCAGATGGAAAAGTGAGGTAGAGGGATAATATTATAGAATCATGCATGGGTATGTGCTTCCACTCTGGATATCACAAGGTCATTAATTCTTCTGATATGGAATTAATTATATTTTTGGCCTCAGGTGTTAAGGGAGGAAACAGGTGATGATGACACCACCACCATTCATACACTACAGGGAACACAATGTTTCTGTGTCCCAAAAATTGAAGTATAGAACAGATGGGGGGCGGGTAGTGTGATTGTGAGGCAGACAAATGCAAACCTGTGCTGTCTAAATGTATTGTAAATATGAGAGAATCATACCTGCAGATCCCATATGAGGAGCTCCCTCAGCTTCCATATGCCCTAAAGCACTGGCTCTGAGCAATTACATAATGCAAAATGAATGTGTCTCTTTTCATCTCTTAGATGCAGGAGAACTCCATGGGATGGCTGGTACTGAAGTGGAAAATCTCTCTACAGAGCTGGAGGGGCAATTTGAAGAGCTCTTTGATCTGTGAATATACTTACAAGGGTCAGAAAAGGGTTGCAGAAAGGAACTGACTGGCCCTGATTTGACACATTCCACAGCCACGGGCCATCAGAAGAGCATGAGTTCTGTTAGGCATGAAGAACTGAGCAGCAGCAGAACTTCAGTCCTTTCTCTGTTGGCAGGAAAGGACTGAATTAAATTGGTTAAGATCCTTACCCATAAATCTTGACTGCCATGGACTGATTGAACGCAGAGGAATCATGGAGAGAATCAGCTGGGGAATCACCAAGGAAAGACTGCTCAGAACCTGGGGAGTGGTGGTGGGATGACAATGAGCAGTCATAGGGAGAAGACTGGAAAGAGGTGTCAGAAGCTGAAAAGGTAACAGGGCTTAGTGAGCTGGGACAATCTGTGGCAGGGAGAAGTCAAGAATCAGAGGCAGAAGCTGGCGAGTATGAGGAGAGAGGCCAAGAAGCAGAGATGAGTCAGGCTGGTGAAGAGTCACGGGTGTCTCCCTTCCTTCTGTGACAAGCTCCCCTCCCCCATCTCCCAGAACCAGGAGAGGCATGAAAAGCGTAGAGAAGAGATTGCTTGGGGGAAACCATGGAGAGGAGGAGACATAGACCGCTGTGGGGAGGTGGAGACCTTTGGACTCGGCAACTGATTTCATGGAGTAAGACCACTGGGAATGAGCTGCTGTGCTCATTAGGCCTGACACTCAGCCAAGTCTGTGGAGATTGTGTTTTTGCTAATAAAGAAATAACTTTGAACTGTGTGGTTACTGACCGGCACCATCTGTGACATTGGCCTTGGTCAAAACACCAAAATCGCCACAGCTGGACATTGCATTCATTTTGTTTACTTGCTATAAACATCAAGCCTGATTCCATTATAGTGCAATACTGAGGCAAGTGGGTCACTCCAGGAGGGCATGATAAAATGTATAATTTCACTGCATCTCATTTACACATAATGAACAAGAGTGTTTTCATAACATTTATTTAATAATAATCAATAAGCATTTAACATCTGGAATCATCAAAGCAAGGAACCTAGATTCTGTTCTATTTAGTTTTAAGAACGATGAGAATCTCCAGATCAGCCTTTCTCAACCTTGTATCCCCAGATGCTGTTGGACTACAACTCCCATCATCCCTAGCCAGTAGGGCCAGTGGTCAGGCATGATTGGAATTGTAGTGCAACATCTGGTGGCACAAAGTTGAAAAAGGCTGCTCAAGAATCTAACAACATTCAGTAACCAGAAAGTCCAGATATACATGCTATCCACATGTGTGTTGCATGACTTTAGTTCTGTATGCTAATTTCAAGCAATATTAGCAAACTATATTTTATTACGGTGATTTGCCTCAGTACCAGAGTCTTTCAGATAAAGGTTTCCTCTGCTAGCATGGGTAGATCTACCCATTTTGCTGGTGAAGGAAGAGTTAAATCTTCTATTTGTCCTTGGGAATACCCAGTATGTTTCATTTTAATCTCAGCTCCAACTTGCCTATTAATTATTAGCACTAATTTCAGAGTAGCACCTAGAGGATTTAACGAAGATTAGTGCCCCGTTGCCCTTGAGATAGTGTAAAAGCCATAGACAAGGGGAGGGCACAATCTTGCCTCAGTGGGCTTCTCCCGACTTACTTATCAACAAAATGGAGAATATATGAAGATTTGCTTGAAGATTTTTTTAACTGCCCAACTAAACAACACAAGGATTACATGACTGCTTTTATCTATTTGCTCAAAAGAAAGAAAGGACGCCTTGCTGTTTCTCTTGCCTCACATGAACTCAAAAAGATGCACCAAAACCAGGGTCAGGCAACAGTTGCTACACAAGAAGCTGCCTTATAATGGAGTCGGACCATGGGTCTGAAGCAGTGCCAGAATGGTTTCTGCAAGGGCAGGTCCTCAAGAAGCATATAAAATAGTGGTAATCTGGTTAGTATAGTGTACTTGGATTTTCAAAAAGCTTTCGACAAGGGAGCTCATGCATTCTTACTGGGCATGTGACAAGTTTACTAGGTTCTGGCAAAACATTTTTGATGTTTGATATTATTGGTCAATCACTGAACCCAAATCCTTCTCTGGCCTTCCTGTCACTAGATGCTGATCTAGACCCTCCCCTTATACATAAGGACCTAACTGCCCTACAATTTAGGATGGCTCATTTTTGATCGCCTCCCAATTGAAAGGCTCCCAGAGGTCCATCTCTGACGGAATGGCAAGGGAAAGTTTGGGACCTGGCTCTTTCTGAGCATCTATTGAAACACAGAAGTGTTGTTCGATGTCATACTAAACCTGATCGGTTTGACAAGGTATGGTCCCCTATACACCTCTATGTAAATAAAAGTGATATTAACGTTAAACCTCCAGCCACTCACACTTACTTATGGACAGGCTATGTTATAGATAGGTGAAGCCTTAGCAATCCATTCAATGATGAGTTGTTTGACAGCAGCCCCCTCCCAAACCCCCACTGAAAATCCACTGCAAAGACATCTTGTCTGGATTCATAACTCCAAACAACTGTATTTGGAGCATAATGTTGTCAGTATGCAGATCATACCTATTTCTCTATTCCATCTCAACCAAGAGAGGCTATTCAGGTAACTGAACCAGGGTCTGGGACCAGTGATGGGCTCCATGAGAGCTCACAAGCAGAAGCTAAATCCTGACAAGATGGAGGTTCAAAATTTAGGAAATGCAAAGGCTTTTAAAATATTCTTTATCTAGACTTTTAACTGATAGTTTTATGGTGTACTGGTTTTAACTACTGTCTGTAATGTATTATAATTATATTTTTAAATAATAATTAAAAAAAATCCTTCCAGTAGCACCTTAGAGACCAACTAAGTTTGTTACTGGTATTGGTGAGCTTTCTTGTGCATTCACACTTCTTCAGATACCATCTGAAAACCCAGGGAGGAAGGCTGGGTTTTCAATTTGAAATCTAAAAAATGCATTATAGTCGTTCAGTCAGGATGCAATCTGCAAAAGACCACCTTCTCCAAGTATGTTTTCTGTCACTAAGACCCCATCACCACACAGACATACCACAACAACCATGATGTCCTTCATTATCAAGTAGTTTTGTAAAAAGCCCCCCTTGTAGTTAATAGTGCAAATTAACATGCCCTGGGAAAAGATTGAAAATGTGTGTCATCCCGCCCTGCCCAATGCAATCGTTTGCCATCAGGAGAATTGTGACCCCATAGTAAACCTGCCACTTCAAAAATCATTGTGTCTAGCTCAGCAAAAATCCAACCCACGGAAATAAGCTCAGCAAATCTCCCTTATTTCATTTAATCAAAGACAGGCTCTTGTGCTGTTACAAGCCCATTGGCATTTTTAGCATATCAGTATACAGAAAAGCTGTAGGTTAAGAATCTGCAAAGCTGCAGTTTGCTAAAATTATACAAAGTGCCAAGACAGATTTTAAAATTGCCAGCAAACCCACTTTTAATGGCTGCTCTTCATCTTGTCAGCGTAAGATGGAATATATATATAATCAGTGAAAGAAACATACAGGCTTCCTACACTTCTCTGTAGAATCATTCAGTCAAATATAGCTCTCTGTCAATAGAGGGGAACAAACAAGGAAAATGCAACGTTAAAAACAAACAAACAAACAAACAGGGAAGCCATTAATCAGATTTCTACCAACCTTTTATCAAATCTATTAAACATTCTGAAATGGTTACAGAAATGGAAGAATATTGATTCAGTCCAATTTTCTTCTGAAAAGGGACTCTGGAGTTGCTTTTCAGACCATTCCTCTATATATTTCTGGGTACTTCCAGGTGGCCATTGAATGGATTCTGCAACTTTCTCTTTTTATTATATCCACTAGATGGCATCTCTGTTCTTCAAAAAATGCCATTTTTTCTTCTGTTTTCCTGCTGTGTTTGTAATCTGAAAACAATATCCCATAATTTATTTTTAAAAAGAAAGATAAATTGTTCTGCTTCTATGCAAGGATACCGCAGAATGCTTGTTGAATGGTTTCATAACATTGCCACACACAATAGCACTTGTGAACATTCTAAGGCCAAACTTGCTTGAATTATCTCGTGGCAACTAGACAAGATGTTGTGCAATTTGCATTCAACTCATACTAAAACCACCAATTCTAAGACGTGGTTATGCCATTCTTGTAATTTAAAATTCTATATCTATCCTTTCATGGATTTCCTGATGACAGAATTCAGGGTGCTTGTACTGATCTCATCACAAACATTTTCATTTTCATTTATTTGTATTTTAAAAATCCATCCTGCCCTTTGAGGGACTCTTATAATAATTCTGCTTCACCATACAATAAAGTGTGACTACTGTAGGATATCACTCAGAGTCCCTTTTAAAACATCTGTATCCAAACTGCTGAGTGCTTAACTTAGTTGATTCTAATGTCTAATATTTTACAATTTTAATGTGATGTAAGCCACCCAGAGTGGCTGGGGTATAAATAATAAAATTATTCTTATTCTTTTGCAGATGAAGAGGAAATTAGGGGATAAACAGCACCACATAATAACAACTTTTGATGGGCAGGAATTAATTCAACCATCTGTAGTTTCTAAAAACAAAGAACTGGCAATTATGTAGACACCTGATTAATTCTGCAAAACATTTCTGCAGAAAGCTGTGCAGTGTAATATTACACATTCCCTCAGAACTCCTGCTGAGTGCCATGAGATTATGCCTACGGAAGGATACAAAGGATAGTAGCTTTCATGGGAATTAAGCATGGAATGGACGTTGAGAATTTTTAATGTCTATGTTCAGGGCACTGTGCCATGGTGCCATATAAAAAGTAGGCTGTCAAAGTAATGTAGCAAAATCCCGGCTATGGAACATTATCAGGAGACAGTGCTAACACATTCCAGTTTTCCAGTGAACCTGGTGGGTGTACAGGAAGTCCTGCATTGATGCCAATCTTTTCCACTTGCTTGGAAATAAAATTTTCTTGAAGGGAGTCTGTTCTCCATTTAGCTGGAATTTCCCTTCAAATTCTACTTCAAACCAGCTTACTTCATCATATTCTATTCCATCAAATTCTACTTCAAAGCAGCTTACTTCACCATCCCTTATTACAAGGAGCTGTGAAAAAGCAAGACAAATATTGCCCGTCAAATTTCAAGGGGTGGGGAACCATGTATACATTCATTCAGTGCTGACAACATCTCTGTGATAAGTTAATTCTGCACCAATGTATGGGAAACTGGCAAAGTGGATGACTGCAATGCAGTCTGAACATTTTTTTTTTTGGTTTTTTAAAGCACCTTCCTTACCCACAAAGCTGTATGATGGTAGTAAATAATATCATTAAATATCTGAAAAATTATTCATTGCCTTCTTGTTTTCTTCTAAATTAAAAGATCCCATCTAAAAGGTGCTCTTTTGTGATCACGATCTGTGTCTCGAAGAACTCTGTAATTAATCTGAGTTTTCAAGGGAAGTCCTCACAAAAATTAGTAAAATAATGAAGGAAAATGTCACCATCTGGTTTCAAACTGGCAAGGAAAGGGAAGCTTGCTTTATATAGATGAATTTATTCCCTAATGTGATTTATCATATTGAGTCAAAGATAAACCACTATTTGATTAATGAAAATGAATGTATTATTTAGCAGAAGCAGAATAAAACCCAGAGAAACCAGAGCACAGAAGTTGAGCAGGTTCATAGAAATAAATGTGATAGACTGTAAAAAACCCAAAACCAACCT